GCTAGCCCCGCGCCCGCGTGGCGCCTGCGCAGTCCGCTCCCACGTGCGCCCTGCGACGCCCGCGCACACCCTCTGCGCGCCGGGGAAACCGCGCTGTGCCTCGGGGCGGGGGGTGGTGCCGTGCCCCAGGGTTCCATGCTCGCAAAGTTTCTCCGCCGAGACAGTGTAGCTACTCCAGCTGCTTCTAGAAATGTGGCCCTGCGAATGCGGATGGAGTTCGAGCTCAAAGACGCAGACCGTGTCTTGGTAATGGTCACTTGGGTCGCATTACCACTTAAAGTCTCACAAGGTTTTTCAAATTAATCCGCTACCTCTGCCTGAAAAGTAAACACAGGTGATCACTTTTTCGCTGACTAAGCACACCTGGTTATATGTTGGTGCCGCTCAAATATTTGTGAACCTTTTTTTGGAGGGGACTAGGGACCTTTCAAACAAATTCGGGAGAAAAATGGTACCCCCATGTATTTATAAACTAGTTTCAACATTGTCAATTCACTGTCAGTCTTGTCTGCATCCGTACCCCCCACACACTTCTTCCATTGTTTGGAAAAAAATTCTCACTTGAATCTTTTTTTCTTTGTAATAGGTTTTTTTTAGAACAGTTTTAGATAAAAATTGGGAATTGAGAAGATACTACAGAGTTTCCCAGATTAACCATACCCTATTATTTCCTATAGGAAATAGTTTCCCCTATTATTCATATTACATTAGTAGGATACATTACATTACTATTACGTTAGTAGGATACAACTACAATTAAGGAACCAATATTGATATTACTGAAGTCCAGAGTTTATTTAGATTTCTGCAGTTTTTACCTATTGTCCTTTCTCTGAGCCAGAATTCCATTCAGGATACCACATTATTACATTTAGTTGTCATGTCTTCTTAGGCTTTTCTTGGCTGTGGCAGTTTTTCAGACTTTCCCTGTTTTGGTGATCTTGATAGATTCCAGGAGTACTAGTCAGGCATTTTATAAGATGCCCCACTGTTGGAGTTTGTTTTTCTCATGATAAGACTGGAGTTAAGGGTTTTGGGAAGGAAGGCTATAGAGGTAAAGTGCCATTTATATAGCACCATATCAAGTGTACATCCTGTGAAAATGACTCATGACAGTTGACATTTTCCACCTGTAGGGAGCAGGATGGTGTCACTCGTGTCAAGTAGTGATATAATCAGAAAAGAAGCCAAAGATATTGCAGCTAAGACCAAATATCACCAAAACCAGTATAGACTGGGAGTACTAAGGACTATAAACCATAAGGCCTAGAAGAACTAGGAGCTGATAATCACTAGAGCCAAAAGAGGCCTGCAAAGGCACAAGACTGATTAAACTCTTGTAAAAAGAGGATTTCTACAGCAAACTGCCAGACTCTCTAGACACTGACCCTTCCTCATCTGACCACATTAAAAGGCAACTGCTGTGGACTGTGCCTGATTGATCTCTGAACATAATAGAGATCCTCCACTTTTGAACATATCAGAAAGTGCCTAGAGCTGGCCTAGACCTGACCAAGTCCTCATCATAACTGTGCTCAGACTGACTTGGTTTGATTCATTAAATTCTTTTTTTTAATTTTATTTATTTATTTGACAGACACACAGCAAGAGAGGGAACACAAGCAGGGGGAGTGGGAGAGGGAGAAGCAGCCTTCCCGCTGAGCAGGGAGCCCAATGTGGGGCTCAATCCCAGGACCCTGGGATCATGACCTGAGCCAAAGGCAGACACTTAATGACTGAGCCACCCGGTGTCCCTGATTCGTTAAGTTCTTACCCTTATTGTATCTTGTTTGTTGCATAACTTTGTATTGTACTTTGTGTGATGTGTATGAAGCCAAATTAAATGCATAGTGAAATGTCATTGAGTTTAGGATCCTGAACCTGCTTTCAATTGTATTAACCTTACTTTATGATTGAATAAAGCTGACATTGCAGAAAGACACAACTCATGTACACACCTTTATAACATGCTCGAGACACCACCACCTGACTAGTGTTCTTCAGGTTTCTAAAGTTACTCTTGTTTTCCCTCCCTTTGCATATTATACACTTCGGAAGAAAGTTATTATACACAGTCTACACCTAAGAAAGAGAAGTTATGCTCCCCCTCCTTAAGGGCCAGATACCGAAATTATTTCAAATTTGTTTACACAGGAGATTTGTCTCTTCTCCATTTATTAATATATTTGATCATATATACTGTATATGTATTATTATGAACTCATGTTTATTTTATACTTTGGGTTATAATCCAACACTACCTCATTTCCTCGCTCAAATTTTTCCAGTTTTGGTCATTGGGAGCTTTCAATGTGGGGTTGTTTTGTTTTTATTTATTTGGGGGATTTTTTTTATCACTTTTACTTTTGGGGATATTATATCTTGTTATCTATACATATTTATGTATCTTTAAAAGATAATAACTTTTAAAAGCAGCACCAAAACTTAACAATTAACAGTTTAACATTTTCTTAACAACTTCTTAATATCATAAAATTAGTGTTTAAAATATCCAGAGAGTCTCAAATGATTTTTATTTTTTTAAAGATTTTATTTATTTTTTAACAGAGAGAGAGAGACAGTGAGAGAGGGAACACAAGCGGGGAGAGTGGGAAAGGGAGAAGCAGGCTTCCCGCTGAGCAGGGAGCCCGATGTGGGACTCAATCCCAGGACCCTGGGATCATGACCTGAGCCGAAGGCAGACGCTTAACGACTGAGCCACCCAGGCGCCCTCAAATGATTTTTAATAATTGGTATGTTCAAATCAGGCTCCAAACAAGATCCTATATTTGTATTCAGTGATGTATTTTAAAAAGATATTTCCTTTTAATCCTTTTCTTATAATTTATAAATTGAAGTAATGGCAGTTTTTCTTAAGTTCAGTTGTGAGCATATCCCCTCTGGCAAGTATACTTCACAGGTGGTATTGTGTGCCTCTATAGCATCACATCAGAAGACAATATCTAGTTGTTTCTCTTTGGAGGATACTAAAATTGATCTAGCAGGTTCAAGTTATGTCAGCCCCATCTACCCATTATAAAGTTTTCCACTGGCTTTTTGTCTAATGATTCTAGATTCACCGATGATTGTTACCTAGATCCATTATTTCTTTAGGGTTTGCAAACTGCTGATACTCTGTTTTCTGCATTTATTATCTGGAATTCTATAAAGAGCTTTCCCACATTGACTATTTGATTGAGATTCAGTTTGTTAACAGGAAAGTTAGGATGCTTGATTCTTTTACCAGTTTTCAGACTGTGATGATTCTTTGGCATCTTCCAAAGGTGACTGGTGATGTTTTAAAAAAATCAACACACATTAATTTTTGACATACTAGAAGAGTCTCAAATGCTGTTGTTATTATTTTTAATGTTAAATTGTCCTTTGACCAGTGGGCACACTTTTGAATTGTCTCCTGAGTCTTTGACACAACTCCTGTTATTTTTCTTCTTTGCTTTCTGATACACATATCTTAGACTTTCTTGCACTTTTCCTGCTCCAGACTTAGAATCCGTCCCTGATTCCCAAGGGGAGTCCAAATTACTTTTTGTGGGAAATTATATTTAGAAATGATGGAGGATAGGGGTGTGTATTGTGCTGATTGTTATTCCAGGCCTTTTCAGTGGTCACTTTTAATGAAAAAAAAAAAATACCATGAGTTCATACTAATTGTTCTAAATTCAAATATAGGATTGCAGAATTTTTACTTAATTTCTTTGATTTTGTATTTGTATTCCCTTTCTCTATCAATGAAAATCGTGGTATCCAGAAACATAATGCTTTAAACTAATATATATTTCAGAAGTAACACTGTGAAGGTTATTGCTAACAATATGAGCTGTGAAAAAGGCTTACATTTTTTCCCCCTTGGAAAAATATATCTCACTAGGAATGTTTGGTCGATTGACTGTTTTAAAGTCAATTTATTACTTCACTGTCAAAAACACTTTAACTGCAAAGTGTGTTTCACTGCAGTATTTTCATTTAAGGAAGGAGGTGCCATTTCCTGTTGAAAAGGAAAGAGGAACAAAGTGACACAATGTTGAATTTTTTTAGTGATTTTCTCCGCCTAGCAGTTAGTGTCAAAGAAGCTTAACAGAACAGGAACAAGCTTTGCTTTACAAACTCTCACGTTGACAACTTGACAGAATTAACTACTTTCACTCATGAGTTGTGAGTAGGAAGTCCTAAACCAAAGAACATCACTGGACAGCGTAGATTTCAATTCGCAGATTGAAACTGTTCCCCTTACTTATCTGGACCCGATTAGGCAACTGTATTCAACACACTTTTTCCTCCAATACACTTTTTGTTGCTAATTATTGAGTAGCTCCTGCATGTCAATCCCCACACTGTGAACCGGGAGAGAGGACACCGCGCTCAAGGCGCTCACAGCCTGGTGCCAGGGACGAACGCACGAACAATTTATTATTATTATTATTATTTAAAAAAGAACAGTTTATTATTAAACAATGGCAGTGTGTGCCAGGTTGAAGATACGAACGCGGTGTTATGGAAACCCCCAGAATCTCTCCCAGGGATGAATTGTCAGACGGACAGGTAGGCTCCTCCTGCTAATTCCGCCTACGTCAGGTAGGTTTGCGCATCAGAGTTGGGAAGTCACAATTTCGAATTCTTTTATTGCTTTATACCCCCGACTAATATGAGAAGGGTCAGGGAGTGAGGTGGGTTTATACCCAATGAGAGCGTCCTACAGAAAGAAAGAACAGGCTTAGGGTGGGAGTGGCGTGAGAGACCGGACAGGACTAGCAGGATTGCTGGCTAGCCGAGTCAGTCGGGGCGTGGGTGCCCAGCGAGTCCCAGCGCGGGGCGGGGCGCTGTGGGGGCAGGAGGCGGTGCGGCCCCGGCCCCGCCCACTGCAGACCGGTTACACTGGCCCCGAGGTGCGTCGCGTCACACCGCCCGCGCCTCGCTGATTGGCTCCTTCAGGGAGCCCCACCCCCTCAGCTGTAGTGGGGCTGGCTTCAGCGTCGCCGCCATCTTTGTTGATGTGTCAGCTCCGCGGGGGTTTGGGGACGCCGTGGCGGAGGGAGCGCGGTGTTGGGCTTGTCCGTGGTCGCTGTTCCCCCCCACCTCCTGGTCTGCCGGACCCCGCTATGGAGAAATTAGGCCCTGAGCAGGAGCTGCAGCGACCTCGTTAGGGGTGCGGCCTGAAGCTCGGAGAAGTGGGGTGAGTGCTTGACGGGAGCCCGGAGCCGACCGCAGTGGCGGTGGCGGCGCGGAGGGACTGCCCACCTCCCCCGCGGTTCTGCAGCCCCTGGGTCGGCTCTCAGCCTGGCCTCTCTCGCGGGCAGTGGAGGCCGGCGAGCGCTGGGGGACGGAGTTAGGAATCCCTCCCTCTCCCTGCCTTGTTCCCTAGGTCCCGGGCTGACTGGAGAGTAGGCGGCCGAGGGATCAGCGGGGATCGGGGGCCGCGCCTCCGGAGCGGTGCTTGGAGAGCAGCTTAATTTGGGCCGATTGCCTGATCTCCCAGCGCGAACTGTAGCTAAGCCCCACCTGCTCGGCTATTTTTCACTCAGTTGCCTATTTCTCTTTCCGTTTTCAAGTTGACTGTGTGTTTTATGTTTACTGTTGTGGCGACTTTTTGCCGTCTTACAAACTCTTCCGTTACTGTGATTTTAAGTAACTTACAGATGGTTCTTTGGGATTTTGGTTTTGAGAGATACTATTATTGGTTTTTTGTTGCCTTTCTTCCAAGGACGTCAAGCATTTGATAAACCTTGGCTGGTAAGGATATTTCAAATTTGGTCAATCAAACTTGTGACATGGGAAAGCCTTTTACGTGTCCCCCAGCAGCAAGCCTGGGGATAGCGCAGGTGTAATTAATGCTTAGCTGTTAGCAATTTAACAACTGTAGCTAATATTCACATCTTGGTTTTGTTTAAAGAGGCCTGGATTTAGAGTCGGAGCATCTGGATTAGAATCTGCCTCTTTCACTTGATAGTTTTGTTACCTGTGGGGATTAGTATAGTAAAAATAATGGTGTATACAGTGCCAGGCATTTGGCAGTTTTCTTCGTGTGTGTGTTTGTGATGTTCCTTGATGCCTAGCGTTTTTACTTCTTCCTAAATGATAGGCTGGAAGTTTTTGTAAGAAAAGTGTGCAGTAAATCAGTGGAACAGTATTTCAAAAGGTGTACTGGTAGTCACACACAAAAAAAGATTTAATGTGTAGGTATGCTAATTGTGGGTGTAGCCTTCCTAACTACAAACTACACCTTCATATTTGCGTAATCTTGTAGGAAAGATTAAGGTTCAAGAGACATTGACAGTGAAACTGAACTATCTCCTTGTGAGTGTAGTCTCTTCTCTGTACAGCTACTTTTCAACTTTTATTCATCATTGCAAAAATAGAAAAGTGATGATTGGCCTCTTTTCATTTTATTTAAAATTCAGTAAAGGTATTGAGTAGTTCACAAATCTTACAAAGAATTAAAACTCCTTTTTGCATTGTAGTAGGCAAACATATACTCAATCTACCTGGAAATGCCTGGCTTGTGTTTATGTTTTTCCCTGGAAATGCATGGATTGTGTTTATGTTGATGTTATTATTTTTGAAATCTTGTCAAATTCAGATACCAGCATATAAACCTAGGTTTCTTTAAACAGTGAAGGTTCCAGAAAGTGTCATTGGTATTTCAGAGTCTTACTGCTAACATGAGAGGAGTGGTATAGCACAGTAACTACTCTGTGACCTTTTAGTTCCTTCACCCGTAAATGCAAGAGTTGTCCCTTAGTACTATTCAATGATAGCATACCTGATGGCAATTTCTTAGTATATTCAGTTTAAAAACGTCTATTTACATCTACGTGCTGACATCAGCAAGTGGGGTAAAACAGTACCGAATACTTTTTTTTTTTCCAGAATACTCAAGAGATTAATAGGTCGAAGCAGCCTCTTTTAGAAATTTAGAAAAATCGTCTTTCTCTTTGAAGAATGACTAGTAATCTGTATTCGTTTTCCAAATTCATGTAACAATTTCATGTGAAAGAATCCTTGACCTCAAGGTCTGCTTTTTTTCTTTCAATAAAATTTAGGTTTTTCTTTTATCCCTTATTTCTGGCTTTAAATAATAAAGCCGAGGGGCACCTGGGTGGCTAAGTCAGCTGTCTGATTTATGCTAGGACATGATCTCAGGGTCCTGAGAGTAAGGCAGCCTGGAGCTCGCTACTCAGCCAGGACTCTGCTTTTCCCTCTTTATCTGCCCCTCCCCCAGCTTGTGCTCATGCGCTCTCTCTCTCTCAAATAAATAAAATCTTTAAAAAAATAAAGCTGATTCTTGAATTTCTCATGAACATTCACTGGGCTTAGGGTATTGTAAATGTTATATTTAGTGTTTCAGGGCAACAGTAGGAGGATAGATCATTTAAATTTACAAATAACCCTCTAATCTTACATTTTTTCAGACTTCTTGAACTTTTTTAGCTACTGAGATTTTAAAAATCTATTTGGACTAAGGAAACAAAAGGAAAAATATTGACATGAAGGGACAATAGACGCAAAGTCAAAATTAAACCCACCAAAGAAAGTATTGATTGGATTGTGAGTATATTTGTACATTAAGACACATGAACTGATAGTCTGCTGTAGGGATGATTATGTAGTAAGTACTAATGAATAATGTTTTTGGTAAACTATATCATACCATATTAACTGAACGCAGGCCAAAGGTAAGGTTTCAAAATTTAAACATTAACCAGAACCTCTTAATAGAAGGCAGACTTACAACTTACCTTTAATTTTTTTTTATTAGTCTTCCTTTTTGCAAAGGAAACTAAGTCAGTCTTTTTTTTTTCTTTTAATTTTCAGATTTGGGAAAATATTAGACAATACTTTTTGTATTTCCTGAGACTCATTAAAGTTTATATAGTGAGTGCTCTACAGATAACTTCAGAGTAAGATTTCTGTATTAATAACTTTTTGCTTTAAAACTTAATAGAGTTATAAAATTGCATTGTCTAAGAGTAAACTGATAATATGACAGATAACTTGATAATGTGGTAGATGGTATGGCCACTTACCTCTTTTTCCTGGAATCCTGATGGACCATAATTTCTCTTTCTCCTGTTATCCTGTCACAGGATTTGGTACTATTTGGGGGGGGGGAACTCCTGCTGCATCTGTTGCCCTGAGTCTTTTTTTTTTTTTTTTTTTTACGAGGCAAAACCATTATCAAAGATGCAAGTCAGTTAGGGTTCTCTGCATAAACTCCACATGAGCTATTCTTTTTTTTTTTTTTTTTTACGATTGTTTAATTATTAGGAGAGAGAGCACGAGGGAGCAAGCAAGCACAGGAATGTGAGGGGCAAAGGGAGAGGGGGAGAGAATCTCAAGCCCACTCCAGCACTGAGCGTGGAGCCCTATGCAGGGCTTGATCTCAGGACTCTGAGATTACAACCTGAGGTGAAACCACAAGCCACTCAACCGACAGCACCACCCAGGCACCCCTTGAGTCTGTCTTTCTAACGTCTTTTTTTGTAATGTAATGTACATAACTAAAAATTACTCTGCCTTGAGTCTTAGGTGCGAAGCTAAACAAACCCCCACAGGGGTAATTGACCTTGGCTTCATACTCCTTAACTGGTAGGATAAAGGCAACTTTTAAAATCTAGTGGTATGTTTCACAAAAAGGAAACTCATTAAGGTTAAATTTTAGCTACAAACTTAATTAGAATGTGAGTACCATACAAAATATTTCTCCCTTTTGATAACTTAGAGTTCTTTGAAATTGCTAGTTTAGTCTTTTTTTTTGTTTTTAATCTGATTTGCATAAATTCACCTTGATATTTTGATGTGAAACAACGTTTTCATGTTTCCTTTTTTTTTTAAAGATTTTATTTATTTATTTGACAGAGACACAGCGAGAGAGGGAACACAAGCAGGGGGAGTGGGAGAGGGATCCCAATGCGGGGCTCAATCCCAGGACCCTGGGATCATGACCTGAGCTGAAGGCAGATGCTTAATGACTGAGCCACCCAGGCGTCCCAGTTTTCATGTTTCTTACACAGGTTCCTTTCTATTAGTTTATGTTTAAAAACTTTATCCAGGAATGTGTTTGTATTCTAAAGGTAACCTTCATCAAAAATCACTTGGGATTGTGATCAGATTATGTTGGACTATGGATGCATTTTTGATGCAATTTATTGCTTCTGATTTTAATTGCCATATCAGAACCTTGTTAGAACTGGTCGGATAAATTATTCTTTTGTTCATGCTGCTTTTAAAGTTTATTTGGGGAATATGTGAAAAACCTTTTAATGTACTTGGCCTACAAAGGACAGTAAACCATTATAGTGAAGAACAGGAGTGCTCTCACAGACTCAACTTTCTTATCTTAGTAGACATGATTTTAAGAAATATACAGGTGGTGTTTGAGATTCATATGGTATAGTTTGTAACTTAAAAATTTGTTTGTTGTAAATAATATTTATGCTGAACTGAGCCAGATTTTTGTTGGATTTAAAACATTTATGTGTATCTTATATAGTTTCTGAGGGAACATTGACAGATGTTCATATTAAAATGCTGTAAACACACAGAGTAAAAGATTTAAGATGGAGCTTTTTTTTTTTTTAACATAGAGCTTTTACATATATTGGTCCACTATACCTGAATGTAAACTCCCTAACGGATGCGTGTTTCCTTCACTGCCATGTTCCCAACGCATAGACCAGTGCCTGCACATAATATGCGCAGTACATGTTTGGTGTATGAATTAATAGTTCGGAAATGTATTTGTAACTTGGTACTTTTCTATGAGGCTTGTTTGATAAACTGTTGCCAAATATCTGTGGATTGGATTCATTTGTATTTGCAGTTTATTGAGTAAGCCTGTTTTTTTTTTATTGTTTATACTGCTAATTACTAAGAAAAAAGTAATTGTACTAAAAGCTGTTAAAGACTGTTTTTATTTGTAAGGCTCTTAATGTGGAAATAATTTGGTAGAAATGTGAGTTCTTGCATTAAGAAATAAAACAGAGGATAATGGTTGGCTTTAAGGCAAATAAAAAATGTTTCTTGACCAGTTGCCTACAGCTGATGAGCTCCAGTAAGAGCGAAACCAATTCTCACTTCTCTGATATTGAAGTGTGAATTGGTCCTGTAGTACTGTGTCAGAAACAACTCTGAAGAAAAGTGCTTAAACTGAGAGGAATTTTGTGACTGTTAAGTGTTAAATACAGTATTTTCCCCTAATGAGTAAGAGTTGCTAAAAAAGTCAAATAACCTGTTATTTTTTTTTAACCTCAAAAAAGGAATAGATGTAATCTATATCTTTATATGTGAACATGGATTTGATTTGTATAAGCACTTCTTATTTAAAACAGTCATGTAAACAAATGCCTAGTTTTATATCCTCTCCCTTTAAACTACTCTTAGGCTATTGGATCCTCAGTAATTTTGATGACAACTACTCCTGTCCCCCAAAGAAAAAACTTGGACACAACCAGACTGGCCCACATCTGTATCGCCAACTGGAGGCCCACAAGAGGACTCAGCTGACTGTTTTTTCCCCCGCTCTTATTACCTGGTTAATTATGGATATAATCAAACTCATTGTGGTGCCCCTCCCCCCACCAATCTTTTACAGTTACTTAATCTTTGGTGATGGCTTTGTTGTATATATACACATAGATTTCCCTTAACCCATCTCCTTTTCCTTTTGCGTCCAACTAGTATTCATTTGAGCATCAGAAAACTCATTTGCAAGCTAAGTGGTTACCAGATGAAAATTTATGTGAAGGCTTTTTCAAAGGTCAGGGGCATATTACTGATTAACAGTATAGAAAGTACTTGTCTTTTGAAGTTAAACTTAGTTTTCTTTAATTTACAGAAGAATAATATATAAAACAGTCTAAGCTGAGGTAATCATAAACACGGGCTTATTGTTTTGTTTTTGTTTTTTTAAATAATTTTTTATTGTTATGTTAATCACCATACATTACATCATTAGTTTTTGATGTAGTGTTCCATGATTCATTGTTTGTGCATAACACCCAGTGCTCCACACAGAATGTGCCCTCTTTAATACCTATCACCAGGCTAACCCATCCCCCCACCCCCCTCCACTCTAGAACCCTCAGTTTGTTTTTCAGAGTCCATCGTCTTGTTTTTGTTTTTTTTTTTAACCTAGACGAATATTCAGCAGAATGAGACAAACTTTTATTCTGCACAAGTCTCAGATCATTGTATAAACCCAGTGGACCCCACCTTTATTGAGAACTGAACAGCATTTAACATTTGCGAGGATGAATGCAAATGTAGTAGAGAATATATTTGTTGATTTATTATCATTATTGCTGGAGATTTAAGAGGTTTGATTCAGTTCAGAGTGATGTTCCTTCTTGCCAGTAGGGAGATCATTTAAAAGACTGTTCAGAAGTGTCACAGGGAAGGCTGTGACTGTGTGCTTAATGAGTGTAAATGCAGTATGTTTTCATTTACATGAGAGTATTTTTGTACTTACAATGAGAAAATTTGGAGGAAGATGAGGCGTTAAAATTGGACCTTTAAGTATAATTAGGCTCTGGATAGACTGAAGAGAAGGATGTTCTAGATGGGAGCAAAGCCATGGAAATGTTAATGTGCAGATTGGAGGAATCTTGAGTAGACTGGTCAGGGACTAGTAGATTATAGCAAAGTCCTAGGATTTTAGGAATGTGTTGAGAGAGAAGACTGGGAAAGTAGTATGATTGGTTTACTGAGGAATTGCAACTCTGAAGTGTAAACATAAAATGGTTTTAGTTTTTCCTTATTGAGTCTCCCATCATACTGTGTAAAACGCCCCCATCCTTTCCACTTCCCTCTGAAGTATAGTCCCCTAATGTACTAATTTGATGTCATATTTTTCTGCCACTTCTGATTACTAGAGAAAATTTATTCAAGAAACTAAGATAGGTTTCAATCATTTAAAAAAAAAAAAAAAACAACATTAATCACAAACTCCTTGTTCTACCTGAAGAAAGGTTGAAAGTGTTAGTTCACAGCTGCTTGGATTAAAGAAGAGGTAATTTGGCTCTAAAATATGTCCCTTCTTTTTTTCTCTAGCCAGCCCTTTTGGAGTTGGGGGAAGAAGACCAGCCGGTGGAAGCAGAATTCTTATTACGGGAACCTCTAAAGAGGGAAGAGATAGCCCTGGTCTCAGTCTGATTCGTCTGGTTGCATTTGGTGGAGGTCTCTGTGGAGGTAGTGTGTGGATTTTTTAGGGGCAGTGTTGTAGCTCCCTGGTCCCTTGTGCCATCGAGGAACCAGCCCACTTCATGGGGGATCTCCTGTTCCCTCTTGGCAGAGCCATTGTAGTACACACTTCAACCCCTTCTCTGGATGGGGTGACACTTGACCTGGTGCTGTCTCAAGTCACTTGCCCATTTCATGGAGTAAGTTTGAGAAACCAACATTTTAAGTGTTCCAGGTATGAAGTGATTACACCTGGATTGGGTTACAGGTAGGGGACAGTGGCAGTAGAAAGGAGGGTATAATTGGAGACATGAAGTTGGTAAAAGAATATGAGGGCAAAGGAAGGAAGGAGTCATGACTAAGAAAAATGATACCATTGGAGCGCCTGGGTGGCTCAGTTGGTTTAGCATCTGCCTTCGGCTCAGGTCATGATCCCAGGGTCCTGGGATCAGCCCCACGTCGGGCTCTTTGCTCAGTGGGGAGCCTGCTTCTCCCTCTCCCTCTACCACTCTGCCCCACTTGTGCTCTCTCTCTCTCTCAAGTAAATAAATAAAATCTTTAAAAAAAAATACCACTGACAGAAAGGATTCACTGGGAGTGCTCAGTTATAGGAGCTATAATTTGCTTCGGGATTTATGCCATTTTGAGTTTGAGGTTATCGTGGAACATCCATTCAAAATGTCTATATTCAAGTGAAGATTTTCATGTGGACATAGAGCGAAGGCAAACAGGTAATTTGTTATCTGTAACTCAAGAACATAAGACTGAAAGTAACTAATGTGGATATCAGTTAGGAGTTGGTTCAAATTATCAAAGTGGTTGAATTCTAGGAGGGAAAATAAAGTTGAAGACTGAATGGAGAATATGAAAGCTGGATAAAAGGATAATTCTTTACAATTGGTGCTTTTCTCTTGACAAAGCATGGCACACATTCTCTAGTGATAGTTTCTTCTTACTTGCTTTATGCTGGAGAGTCATAATCCCTTTATATATTCTCATTTAAATAGATTCTTTGTTATCTATTTTGGCCCATTGCTATTAACATTGGTTATGATGTTTAAAACCATTTTTAGATTTCTAAATTAAGATTTCAAATTCAGCGACACATTCACAAGTTATATCTTAAAGTGACTTACTTTAGGGAGAACTATATAGTCTAATACCCCTATCTAAGAATTACTTTACTTTGTCCTTGATTTTGGGATACAGCGTGCTTTATTAACTTACTGCATTAATTTGTATTGTCTAAACCAAGCCTTTAATACCAGTAGGGGCTTTGTCTTGTATATAACATAACATATGCAACAAGATAATGATAATTTCTATTTGGTTTGGAAATATACAGATTAGTAATTTGTAGTATTAAGGTCAATGTCTATACTAGTTGATGGCCCAAAGGGAGCGAAAGCAGAGGAGGAAGTCTATATACTTCCTTTCTTAGAATTATTCTTCCCCATTTTCTGCATTCCTAGAATAATGTTCCTCAAATACTAGTTTTATCCTATCACTTCTGTACTTTAATTCAATACCCGAGAATCTACTGTGTGCTAGAAACTATAGTATAATAAAGTATACATGTCTATCATGATTTATTGTCATAAAATTCATTTCTGCATATCATTCTGAGGATTCTACCTGACAGTCTTCTCTTACCCTTTTTCACCGCCCCCCCCCCCCAACCAGGACTTTTATCACAGACCGATGAAAACATCTATCTTTGTATTCAAAAATTTTATATTTGTTTTATTTTCCATAAGTACACCTTCCATCTGAAATTATTTCTTTTCTAGTTTTTCAAAGCTCTGATCTGCCCCCTTTTTTATCCAACCTTATATGACACTGATAACTCATCAACCCTATATGTGCTTTGTTGATATGTGATGAAAGAAGATAAGTCTTTTTCATCAAGACTGCTGGAATATATTTATCTGTCTTAGGATAATTTTTGAGGTTGATTAATTTTCAGAAATTAGCTAAAATAACAACCATCATAATAAACAGCATAAAAATGTATTCTGGTTGTTGAATTAATCAGTGTTTCCTTTATGACCTGGGCAGTGCATATGGGCTCCATTTGAGTTGCACTGAACATTGTTTATTCTTGATGAGAATGTTTGGAGATACCATGGTACTTCCTGGACTTATTCCTGGATGGAAAACAAATTCGTGTCAGTGATCTTTAACACCCAGACTTCTTTTAGCTCAGCTTTAGGTGCCTGGGCTATAGATAGTTGTGTTTTGTTATTTAGTTTTCCTTCTTAGTAAATTTTTATCATCATTAATATGTATTTTATAATCTTTCTCTTCTAGTGTTTCCACTGCTATCTTATTTCCCCATATTTTCTTATAGATTCTTGAAATGGTCTTTTGCCCCTCATGGACTGAAGAATTCTAAACAATTCTAACAGTTTAAACTGTAGATATTTCATACCCAACATCTTATGGGGGTGACTAAGGAATGCCAAACTGCAGCTGAAGTGAAGTTGTGTGAATGAATTAAAGGAGGAAAGAGTAAGACTTTGTAGGACCCTACTGATAGCGGCACACTTGGATTGTCTGTCCTATTTGGTTTTTGTTACCCCCCCCACCCCAAGAGAGTCTTTTAAAAGATTTACTAGTGGTAAAATTTGTGGCCTCAGTTATTCCACATCATGGAGTTTGTGCAAATACATATGAGGTCTTCGTTTAAAAAACTTTATTTTTTAAAATTTTGATGTTTTGACTTTTTTTAGATGTAAAACGAAGATCAGGAACAGATTTGAAGAAATGCAGAGTGAAGTGGTGTCAATCAGCATGTCAGAGACAGAGCACATAGCATCCATTTCCTCTGATAAAAATATTGGGAAAACATTTGAATTAAAGGAAGACTTCTGCAACTCGTTTTCTGTTGATGAAAGCAGCAGCTTAGAAAATGAGTCTAAACTGTCGTCATTAAACTTTGATAAGAGGTCATGTCAGCCTAATGAACATAATCAAATTGAAGCACAGGAAAATTGTATTCAGGATCATGGTGGAGGTGAGGATTCTTGTGCTAAAACAGACATATGCCCAGAAAATTCTGAACAAGTAGGTAATTTTCCTGGTGGAGATTTTACAAAGCAAATTTCAAAAACAAATGAAACGGAACAGACAGTAACACAAATATTGGCGGAATTAAGGTCATCTACATTTACAGAAGCAGCGAATCAAAAGACTTATTCAGAAAGTCCCTACGATACAGACTGCACCAAAAAACTTATTTCAAAAATAAAGAACGTTTCAGCGTCAGAGGATTTGTTGGAAGAAATAGAATCTGAGCTCTTATCTACGGAGTTTGTGGAAGAACACCGAGTACCAAATGGAATGAATAAGGGAGAACATGCATTAGTTATGTTTGAAAAGTGTGTGCAAGAGAAGTATTTACAGCAAGAGCACACCATAAAGAAGTAAGTTTTTAATTTTGGGGGGTTTTCTCCCCCTGCCGGGATTAAAGATTGAATTCTTTAAAGGAAGGTATCATCTTGTCCATTCTTAATTCCACAATAGACATGCCTGTTGTAATTGATCAACAAATATGTATTTACTGAGTAATTGAGCAAATGTCAAGTTTGTTTAGTTATTTAATATATGCCTAAAAGAATAAATACTAATGTGAGTTCATTAAACATCTGGAAATATTTATAAAGACAACTCAAGTTTTTCAGTTTTGAAAGAATGTAGAGCATAATATTGTTAAAACTATGAGAAATTCAAAAGAAAATGAGAAGTCTTACAATTCAAAAAGATTTTCTTAAAATTCCCATTGTAAATTCATTGGTTTTAAAAATTAAAATTTAGAGAAGAGTTGGTTATCAGTAATTAAGAACATATTTTTAGACTTCCCTTGGATTTTTGAAGTTAGTTTCTATTTTAATGATAGTTTAATTTTATTTTATCCTTTTCTAATAGTATTATATCATCCTGTATTTTCTAGATTTTTATATCTAAGTGGCAAATGTTTAGGTAGTCTTTTTTTTTCTTTTAAGGTTTTATTATTAGAGAGAGCTTGAGCAGGGAGGAGAGGGAGAAACAGGCTCCCCGCTGAGCAGGGAGCAGATCCCAGGACCCCGGGATCATGACCTGAGCCAAAGGCAGACATTTAACTGAGCCACCCAGGTGCCCCTAGGTAGTTTTTTATAACGTTTAAGAAAGGAAAATGAAACATGCTAACCTTCACTAAAATACAGACTGATTCTTTTTTTTAAATGATACTTAAAAAAAATTTGGAATGGGAGGTATGTATGTAGAGAAAGCAGAGGAGGAAGTCTCTATACTAGAGGAGGGTGACAGAAAAAAATATACCTTAATCCAACAATTGCTAGATATGTAACTGGCTTTTTTTTTTTAAGATTTTATTTGACACAGAGAGGGAGAGAGAGAGCACAAGCAGGGGGAGAGGCAGGCAGAGGGAGAAGGAGAAGCAGGCTCCTTGCTGAGCAGGGAGCCCGATGCGGGACTCCATCCCAGGACCCTGGGATCATGACGTGAGCCAAAGGCAGATGCTTAACCAACTGAGCCATCTAGGCGCCCCTGTAACTGGCTTTTAATGATCTCCTTGCTTCTAGTGTTTATTCTTCTAGATTTTCTTAGTGTAATCAGTCTTCCCCAAACCAGCTTACCCTTCATTGGTTTATCCAGTGAACTTTAATCTCTTAAGCATCCAGAACTCTTCCTTCTTTCTATTTTTTGTTTTTATTTTAGATTGTGACAAAATACACATAAAATTTACCATCTTAACTATTTTTAAGTGTACAGTTCAGTAGTGTTAGGTTTATTCACATTTTTGTGCAGCCAATCTGCATAGCTTTTTTATCTTGCAAATCTGAAACTCCCTACCCATTAACTCCGTATTCCCCTGCCGTCAGCCCGACAACTACTGTTCTTTTTTTTTTTTTTTTTAAGATTTTTTTATTTATTTATTTGACAGAGAGAGTGAGAGACACAGCGAGAGAGGGAACACAAGCAGGGGGAGTAGGAGAGGGAGAAGCAGGCTTCCCGCCCGGCAGGGAGCCCGATGCGGGGCTCGATTCCAGGACCCCGGGATCATGACCTGAGCCGAAGGCAGACGCTTAAGGACTGAACCACCCAGGCACCCCTCAACTTTCTTTTTCTAAAGTTTCCTATTGTTACTTTATATAAAGTGCAATCATAGTATTTGTTTTTTTGCAACTGGTTTATTTCACTTAGCAGATGTCCTCAAGGGTTATCCACGTTGTAGCATCTATCAGAAATGCCTTTTTAAGGGTGAATAACATTTTATTGTATGTATATAACATATTTTGCTTTTCCATTCATCTGTCAATGGACTTTTGGGTTGCTTCCACATTTTGACTAATACTGTGAACGTGAGTGTACAAATACCTCTTGAGACTCAAAGCCCTTAATACTACTCCAAAATTAATGGCTGCTACTTTTATTCATATGCTTGCTGGAATGCTGCTATTATGAATAAACTATGTGGTTTTGAACTTAAACCATTAGTGCCTTTTTTTTTTAAGATTTTATTTATTTGAGAGAGAGAGAGAATGAGAGCAAGCACGAGAGGGAAAAGGGCCAGAGGGAGAAGCAGACCCCCCACCGAGCAGGGAACCCAATGCAGGACTCAATCCCGGGACTCCATCCCGGGACTCCAGGATCATGACCTGAGCCGAAGGCAGTTGCTTAACCAGCTGAGCCACCCAGGCGCCCCCCATTAGTGCTTTTACCACTTTGGTTTTTTAGGGTAACTTCCTCATTTTCCTATCTGTACCTGTTCTTTCAGATCTTTTATTTTTTTTTTGAGATTGTCCTTGATGCCTCTTCCCACTTACCTTAGATCTGGACTCATCACTTTAATGCCTCTCTTGTAAATTGTAAGATGTTGTACATTAAATAATAGCAAATAACTTATATGCTGTTAATTATGTGCCAGGCACTTTATATATATATTCATGGAATCAGAACAGTCCTCTGTGGTATGAACTATTACTCCCATTTTACAGATGAGGTACCTAAAGCACAGAGAGATTAAGAAACTTGCTCAAGGTCACATGCTACTAAATGCCCCAGTTAAAATCTGAGCCTAGTTAGTCTGGCTTTAGAAGATTTTTCAATGTGGTTATCTGAATGAACTAGTTAGAAGTTGTTAACATTATCTAAAAATATTAGGACTAGAATAGAAAATTCTTTTTTGCCACATCCTGTCAGAACTGTGGCAGCATGGTAGACTGGGGTAAGCACAGTTTTGGTCAGAAGCCTGCAGTTGGAAGATTCCCACTTCCACTTGCAAATTCTGATTTGTTGTTCATATCAACCTCTCTAAATCAAAATTTGTCATCTCTGTGAAGGGGACGATACCTGACGGAATTGTTTTATAGACATTAAGCCATTATAAAAATATTAGATACTATTTTAAATAAGTTAATCTTTTGTTATATACACATAATAGCATAATTGTGACTCAGCTCTAGAACACTTTTTTTTTCTTTTGCCTTCATTTAATATTCTATAAAGAAAACTGCCTTTCAGTTCCTTTGGCTTAAATTTTCATGCATGCATCTATTTCCAGATGTTGTATATACATCCATTGTTCTATTTTCTAACATCAGTGTGTTGTCCAAGGTCCCAACCGGAATTCTTAATTAAGAACCATTAGTTGTGGGTGCCTGGGTGGCTCAGTTGGTTAAGCGACTGCCTTCGGCTCAGGTCATGATCCTGGAGTCCCGGGATCAAGTCCCACATCGGGCTCCCTGCTCAGCAGGGAGTCTGCTTCTCCCTCTGACCCTCCCCCTTCTCATGCTCTATCTCATTCTCTCTCTCAAATGAATAAATAAATAAAATATTTAAAAAAAAAAAAGAACCGTTAGTTGTGCATTGGATGTGACAATTTGAGGGTTTGCTGCCTCTCTAAATTCCTTACTTATGAACTACAGCTAGGATTCTTACGCTGCAGGTAGTTTTCTGCAACAACTTGAGTGTACACCGAATCAAATAATCTAAGTTAAACCACTGTGCCAAAAAGGCTTGAATAAACTTGCAAGCTGCATTTTTCTCCTTCTCAAACATTTGCATGATTTGCTTCCTTGCTTTGGTCCTGTGTTCCTCAGAGAGGCCCACCCTGACTACCTTATCTAAATGCACTGCTCAAGGGGCACCTGGGTGGCTCAGTCGCTTGAGCACCTGACTTGGGCTTCGGCTCCACTGGTAATCTCAGGGTGATAAGATCTAGCCCATTGTTGGGCTCAGTGGGGAGTCAGCTGGAGATTCTTTCCCTCTATGTGCGCCCCCCCCCCATGCTCGCACATGCTCTCTCAAATAAATAAATCTAAAAAAATAAAATCACCGCTCAAGTCACTCTCTGTCTTCTTGCCCTCCTTTAGTTTTCTTAATAGGATGTGATTACTGCCTGATATTATATTATGTTTATTTTCATTTTCTCCCTTTGAATGTAAACACCATGAGGGCAGGGATGGTTTGCTGACATACTTCAACCCACAGAAGAGTATAGGTACATAGTAGGTACCCAGTAAGCATTTGTCTGTGATCTTCAAAGTAGGAGAAAGGCCTAGGCTATGGAACTAGACCTAGGTCTAAATCTCAGTTCAACCACTTACTAGCTGTGTGACCTGGAACAAGTGCTGTGCTTCAAGTTTTTTTTTTTCATAAAACATTTCATAGACTTACTAATTTCATAAACCTGAATATTAAGTAATGCACTTAAACTTAGTAAATATTAATTGTGAAGTAAGTGTTAAGTAATAGCTGTTGCTATTAGTAATTCCAAAATATTAGCTGTTAACCTTGTTACGTGTCATATTTTATAGTTCTGAAGACTTCACAGGTAATTTTTAAGGCTTTATTTGTATTTTTCTAGGGGACTCAAAATGAAATTTCTGCTTGAACTTTTTTGTTTTATATATTTTTTAAATTTCATCTGTAACTATTTTTAGAATATCATTGAAATATTCTTTAAAGCAAGATTTTTCACCCTTAGCATTGTTGACATTTGGGGGCATATCATTCTTTGGTGGTGGTGGGACTGTACTGTGCCTAGTAAAACGTTTAGCAACATCCCTGACCTCCACCCAAAAGAATCCAGTAGCAAGCCCCACCCCTGTTGTGGCAACCAAAAATGTCTACAGGCAAATGCCTGGAAGGGCTTTGCCTCAGATTGAGAAAACACTGATCTGGAGGAGTTCAGATACTGAAGGGATGACGTGCATAGCTGAGTTACCCAAAGTGGTAAACTTAAGAGTGTGATTTTCTTTATCTGATTATATTTCACTTGATTTTAAATATACAGATTCCTAGGAAGAAGTTAATAGCCTGACTGCCAGAGAATGTTTTATAAAGTATAATATATCATTACAAAAGGACTACTTAGGAATGTTGATATATTGATCATAAGTATCTATAATCTGCAAACATCCTATTTCACATCTCCATTTTTAATTATGTTTTACTTATACTGCTCTTTTTATATTTAGGTTAATTAAAGAAAATAAGAAGCATCAGGAGCTCATCTTAGACATTTGTTCAGAAAAAGACAATTTAAGAGAAGAACTAAAAAAGAGAACAGAAACAGAGAAGCAGCATATGAGTACAATTAAACAGGTAAAAAGACAAAAATCTTTTAAACACTATACTTCAATTTGTAAAATAAACACATTCCTGAAAATTTGTGTATAAATTGAAGTTCTGTAAGCTAAATTGTATTTTAATTGCAGAGGATTGCTTGGTATGTAAAGCATTCTTTATGAAATGGGAATCATAGCCTGATTTTTTTCTCTTATGTAAATTTGTATTTTTCTAGGATATGTGTGAGTGTATATATAATAGAAATCTGAGGAAAAAAGATTTGATTTGGCAGTCAGACTTTCTACCACTTAAAAGAAGCAACATATACCTTAAAGTTTATATCTAGCATTAAAATATTTCTAAGCTTATTGTTTAAGATGATTCCATTCTCAGTCTTATTGTGTACTACACTGGAAGACTGGCTCTCCTGCTTCAGATTTTATCTGGCTAGCTGGCTTCCCCAGTTTGTCTTTCCTCATTTTCTTTCCTTTTAAAATTTTTTAAAATTCTTCTTTTTTTTAATTTTATTTATTTATTTGAGAGAGAGAGCACGAGAGGGGGGAGGGTCAGAGGGAGAAGCAGACTCCCTGCTGAGCAGGGAGCCCAATGCGGGACTCGATCCCGGGACTCCAGGATCATGACCTGAGCCGAAGGCAGTCGCTTAACCAACTGAGCCACCCAGGGGCGCAGTCGTTGAGCGTCTGCCTTCGGCTCAGGTCATGATCCCAGGGTCCTGGGATTGAGCCCCACATCGGGCTCCCTGCTCAGCGGGAAGCCTGCTTCTCCCTCTCCCACTCCCCCTGCTTGTGTTCCTGCTCTCGCTGTCTCTCTCTCTCTTTCTGTCAAATAAATAAATAAATAAAATCTTAAAAAAAAAAAACAAAATCAACTGAGCCACCCAGGTGCCCCTTAAAATTTTTTAAACATGAACTCTGATATATGGATCAACAAAGTGAATATTCAGACTAGTGGCAAAGCTGAGCTGCTCTTTATCTTTCTGAGCTGCTTTTTTTCTTCTGTGGATAGGATTAGAAGCATTTTAGCCTTAAAAGTCCTTCCTTTTGTCTCATCCTTCACCAAAAACTATATAATGAAAAAAACACAATGAACAATCGATAATAAAAAATTAAACCAAGTTTCACTTATGTCTTGGTATACTTAATGCACCATTACATGGTTGGAGGGTGATTATATTTGTAAATTTTACTTAATCCTGATTTTTACGTGCTTTAGAGCTATACCACAGTAAACCAAACTTAGAATTTTAAAATGTGAGGGAAGCTTAATGATGGATGGAAGACACATTTTGGTAGGCAGGTTATTGCTGGTGACCAGAAACTTCAGACTGAATATATGGGAGAGAACCAGGGCTGTTCTTTTCATAGGCTTGTTAGTGGTTGGGCCTTTATTAAGGAGAAAATTGGATTCTTTCTTTTGCTAGCCAGTATAGCAGGATTTTTTTTTTCTTAGTTTTATCTCTAGATCTCCACCTTTCAATATGGCAGCCACTAGCCACATAAAGCCTTTGAGCACTTGGAAGGTGGCTAGTCCAAATTAAGAAACGCTGTAGGTATGAAATACTTAATTTTGAAGACTTGGTCTAAAGTAAAATCTGTCAGTTTTTCAAGTTGATTATCAAAGTGAATATTTTGGATATATTAAGTTTAATATTCATTTCACATTTTGCTTCTTAAAATGTGCCTACTAGAAAATATAAAACACATATGGCTTGTATTCTATTGGACAGTGTCACTCTAGGTAATTTTGTCATAAGGAAAATACGCATATTCTGTAAGCTAACATTTAGGGTTTTTTCCAACAGCTTTATAGATAATTTAAATACCATGCAATTCACCCATTTCAAAGTGTGCTGTTTAATGGTTTTTAATTGTACAACCTTTACCACAATCTTAGAATACTTTATCACCACCCCCACCCCCGCAATGAAACCCCATATCCCCTAGTAGTCAGTCCTTAGGATTTTATGTATACAAGATCATGTCATCTGCAAATAGAGAGTTTTACTTATTCCTTTCCAATCCAAGTGCATTTTATTTCATTTCTTATCTAATTGCCTGGTCTGGACCCTCCAATATGGTGTTGAATAAAAAGTGGCAAGAATGGATATCCTTCTCTTGTTCGTGATCTTAGGGAGAAAGCATTCAGCCTATCACCATTAAGTTATAATGCTACCTGTGGGTTTTTCACAGATGCTCTTTATCAGGTTGAAGAAGTACCTTTTTATTCCTACTTTGCTCTGTGTTTTTATCATGAAAGAGTTGAAATGCTTTTTCTGCATTTATCGAAGTGATCGTGTGTTTTTGTTCTGTTGATATGGTGCATTACATTAAATGATTTCTGGATGTTAAGCTGGCCTTGCATTGCTAGGATAAATAGCTTTGGGTCATGGTGTATAATTCTTTTTATATATTGCAGGATTGTTTTGCTAGTACTATAATTTCCATTGTTGAGCGTCTGCCTTCAGCTCAGGTCATGATTCCAGGGTCCTGGGATCAAGTCCCACATCGGGCTCCCTGCTCCTTGGGAGCCTCCTTCTCCCTCTGCCCCCCTCTCTCTCTCTCTCATGAATAAATAAATAAAATCTACAAAAAAAAAAAAAGAATTTGTCTATATTCATAAGAGATACTGGTCTTATAACTTTTTCTTGTGATTTCTTGGTTTTGGTGTCAGGGTAATACTGACCCCATAGAATGAGTCGGGAAGTGTTTCTTTTTTTTGGGGGAAGAGTTTGTGAAAAATTGATTTGGTATTAATTCAGGGCACCTGGCTGCTTCAGTAGCATGTGACTCTTGATCTTGGGGTCATGAGTTTGAGCCCTATGTTGGGTATAGAGATTTCTTAAAAATAATGTCTTAAAAAAAGAATTGAGGGGTGTCTGGGTGGCTCAGTCGTTAAGTGTCTGCCCTCGGCTCAGGTCTTGATCCCGGGGTCCTGGGATCGAGCCCATCATTGGGCTCCCTGCTCCATGGGAAGCCTGCTTCTCCCTCTCCCACTCCCCCTGCTTGTGTTCCCTCTCTCGCTGTGTCTCTCTGTCAAATAAATAAAATCTTAAAAAAAAAAATTGATATTCTTTAAATACATGATAGAATTTATCTGTGTAGTCTCCTGGGCTTGAATATTTCTTGGTAGGTTTTGGTTGTTTATTTTTTTACTAATTAAATCTCTTTACTTATAGGTCTACTCAGATTTTCTGTCTCTTCTTGAGCTAGTTTGGGTAGTTTGTGTCTCTCTAGGAATTGTCCTTTTATTTCACCCATGTTAAAATGGCCAATTTTTTTACTTCTGTAAGGTCAGTATGTCCCTCTTTTATTTCCATTCTAGTAATTTGAGTCCCCCCCCACCCTCTTTTTTACCTAAAGGTTTGTCAATTTTGTTAATCTTTTCAAAGAACCATTTTGTTGAATTTTCTGTTTTTTATTTTCTATTTAATTTTCATTCTAATATTATTTCCTTCTTCTTGCAGGCTTTAGGTTTCGTTTGCTTTTTCTTTTTACAGTGCCTTAAGATGAAAGTTTGGGTTATTGATTTGACAGCTTTCTTCTTTTTTAATATAGGTGTTTATAGCTATAAATTTCCCTTTAAGCACTGCTTTAGATATATCCCCTAAGTTTTCGTATGTTGTATCTTTATATTTCTAATTTCTTCATATTTTCTAATTTTCCTTGTGATTTCTCCCATTGGTTATTGTTGTTTAATGTTTTGTTTACATATTTGTTGTTTAATGTTTATATATTTGTGAATTTCTGATATTTCTTGCTGCTACTGATTCTAGTTTCATTTCATTATGGTTTATAAGATTTCAATCTTTTAAGTTTATTGAGGTTTATTTTATGACCTAGCATATATTCAGTCCTAGAGAACATTCCATGTGCACTTGATGAGCATGTGTATTCTCCAGTTGTTGGGTGGAATGCTGTATAGATGTGTTAGATCCAGTTGTTTTATAGTTTTGCTCAAGTCTCCTATTTCCTTGTTAATCTTCTATCTAATTCTGTCCATTACTGAAAGGTACTGAAGTCTCCCAACTATGAATTGCCTCCTTCATTTCTGTCAGTTTTTGGTTCATGTATTTTAGTGCTATGTTATTAGGTACATATATATTTAGAATTATTATAGATCGACCATTTAATCATTATGAAATATTCCTCTCTGGTAACATTATTTTGTAGTTTTTTTGTATATTAGTATAGCCACTCTTGTTTTCTTATGGTTGTTATTTGCTTGCAGTGTCTTTTTCCATCCTTTTTCTTAGAGTCTATATTGTTGGATCTTGTGTTTTTACTCCAGTCTGACAATCTCTGCTTTTGATATGATTATTTAATACAATCTCATTTAATGTTATTGACAGATTTATGTCTGCCATTCTTTTCTATGTCTCATGTTTGTTTTGTTCCTCTATCTCTCCTTCACTGCTTTCTTTTGCATTAAGTAAATAGTATTTAAATTTCTTTCATATTTTCACTATATTTTTTTGAGTTATTTCCTTAGTGATTGTTCTAGAGCTTACCATATACATCTTACCAGAATCTGCATCAGCTTTATACTACCTTAATTCTAATGAGATTTAGAAACATTGTTAACATTTACTTTTGATTTCTGTTTGAAGTATATTCATTACATTCTCTATGTTCCCTTTCATTGTTTATATTTATTTGAAGGGTTGGTGGTTTGTTTGGTATAGCTATAAAAATCTGGAAATAATTTTCTTTACAGTTAGAATCAAGAATAGAAGAACTCAGTAAAGAAGTTAAAACTTCCAAAGATAAACTAGTAGCTCAAGACATTGCAGCTAAAAATGCAGTTCAGCAGTTGCATAAAGAGATGGCCCATCGGATGGAACAGGTATTTTTCAAATCATTATCATTATTAACTTTATATTCTGGTGACTTTCTTGTTTAATATAAACTAATCTGTTAGACTATTTTGGGTATCAGTGTTATCTTAAGAATAGGTAATTATCTTTTTAAAAAATGCTGAAGCAATACATAAATACATGCTAACTACAAAAACATTTTTAGTAAATTAAGGAAGTATACAGGGGCATCTGGGTGGCTCAGTGGGTTAAGCGTCTGCCTTCAGCTCAGGTCATGATCCCAGGGTCCTGGGATTGAGCCCCACATTGGGCTCCCTGCTCAGCGGAGAGCCTGCTTCTGCCTCTCCCTCTGCTGCTCCCCCTGGTTGTGTGTGTGCGCTCTCTTTCTCTGTCAGAATAAATACACAAAATCTTTAAAAAATAAAAATAAAGTATACAGAACAAAAAGTGAAAATCCTCCTTCATTTGTACTTCTCTCTTCCTGCACCCAAATCCCTGGTATTCCATTCCTTGTTCCGAGGCTAATTATTGATAATTTTGGTATTTTACCATATATACATGTATAAGTCACACAAGCTTATGTGTATGTATTCATATACTTATTCCTCCTACTTGATTAGAATCTTACTGTGCATCTTTTTGGGTTTTTTTTCCTACTCAATACACCTTGATCTTTTTGAGTTGGTATATGTGGAGTTCAGAAGAGATCATTTTAAGTATTGTTTTTGTATTATTATTACCGGAACTCCTTTTTTTTTCTTTTTTTAATTTTATTTGGGACAGAGCTGCATGTGGGTGCACTAGCTGGGGGTGGGGGGCGTGTGTAGCACAGAGGGGAGAAGCAGACTCCCAGCTGAGCAGGGAGCCTGAGGCTATCGGCCCAATCCCAGGACCGAGATCATGACCTGAGCCAAAGGCAGATGCTCAACCAACTGAGCCACCCAAGCTCCCCTGAACTTCTTAAGTATGGAATCTTAGTCATCTTCATTTCCTAGCACCATGCCTGACTGTTGGTCCTGATGGTGAGTTGAATCAGGAAGTATTAACTGACTGCTAACACTGTTAGTGGGATGGATCCTGTCCTTTCTACCCTGAAGCTACTATCATAGGTAGCTTTCTGGAAGAACTTGAGGAAACAGATGATCCTCAACCTTTACTTCTGTGATTCTTTTCAACATGATCATTTAAAACCTATGCTATTAGTTCCCAAACTTTTTGTACTAATTGAAGAGAAAGAGGATGAGACCTTAAGATGTCAGTTTTTAGTAGACTCAAACATAGCTGATAATTAGAACCATCTGGTAAGCTTTTTAAACAATATATTCTCTGGAGTTTATTATATTTTAGAATAAAAACAAAATAGTAGTTGGATATACACAATAACAACTCAGTAAAAAATGAGTCTTCTTCCAAACGTTTTCTTCCATTTTTCCCTTTCCCAGAAGTAACCATTGATGCAAGTTTCCTGTGTATTCTTCCCAAAATGTTTGTTGCACAGACAAGCATGTATGTATTCCTGGGACTTCCTCCTCCCATTCCACCCCTTTTTAATAAATGGCAACGTGTTGCATTCACTACTATGTAACTGTTTTCTCTATAAAGGTGAAGAATCTATGTGAAGTTATTTTTTTTTTTTTAATTTTATTTATTTATTTGACAGAGAGAGACACAGTGAGAGAAGGAACACAAGTAGAGGGAGCGGGAGAGGGAGAAGCAGGCTCCTGGCTGAGCAGGGAGCCCGAAGTGGGGCTCGATCCCAGGACCTCGGGATCATGACCTGAGCCAAAGGCAGACGCTTAACGACTGAGCCACCCAGGCGCCCCTAGGTGAAGTTATTAATAGTAGCTAATATATTGAGATTTACCTATGTGCCAGGCCAGTTTAAAAAGCACTTTACAGTTTATTTAATCTTCACAATGACGCTAAGAGGTGGGTATTATGTAGATTTTGGAGATTATTTCATTTAAATATTTCTACATCTGCTTCATTCCTTTTTACCCCTACCTTTTCCTCTCAATTTTTTGAGAGTTTTCAAGCTTGTAAAAAGGTGAAAGAATAGTAAAATCAACACTAGTTTATCTTTCACGTAGAGTCACCAAACCTAGTAAATTTTACTTAGGAATAGATTCCCAACATGAGTGTGCACGTGCACACATACGCACACACAGTACGTTCCCCAGTTTAATTTTATAGCTTGAGGTTTTTCCATTTCTTGGACTAGATAGGTAGAATGAGTTTGAACCTCAAACTTACAAGAGGGTGGTAGACTTATAAATTCTCAGGGACTTTACAGCATGTTCCCTTTATCCCCCCATGGCCTGGTATTGGGAAATGTGTACAGGGCAATCAAGAGTTCAGGCTTAGCATACCATTCTGGATTCCTGCTTCCTCTTAGCTTCTTTGGCCCTAGGGATTTTCTCATACTTTCTTGTGAGCTCAACTGTTTATTAAAAGGGTGTTTGTGGAGTGTCTGGGTGGCTCAGTCGGTTGAGTGCCCGATTGTTGGTTTCAGCTCAGGTTGTGGTCTCAGGGACATGGGATTGTGGGATGGAGCCCCAAGTGGGTTTCAGGCTCAGTGGGGAGTCTGCTTCTCTCCCTGTCCATCTGCCCATCCTCCCCCGCACACGCTCGTGTGCTCTCTCTCTCTAATAAATAAAGAAATCTTTAAAAAATGGTGTTTGTTGTATTTCATCTAAAACTTCTGGTGTTTTGAATGGGGATAGTTTATCTGCCATATTTCAAGAAGCAGAACTTCTTACATTTTATCTTAATTTTAACTGGCTGTTGAGTCCTATTGATTATCTTATTCATGCTTTCTTTATGTTCATCCAAGTCAATGATAAACATCTTAAACTGGTCAAATCCGAAGACTTACCAGCTCTTCTTCCTTTATCTGTACAGTAGATGGACTTTTTATGGAAGCTTAAGTAGTAGTTACTTTATCATGTTTAATACTCCCAGGAGTTCTGGGAAGCAAGTGCTGCTGTGGTCTGGGTTGAGACCTAGAAACCTGAACTTTTAGCACCCTAGGTTATGCTTTTGCAGCTGATTCATGGATGACTGGGTAACAGGACATCCCTGCTGTAGTCAAGAACCTTGTAATAGTTTATCTATTTTAATTGTCTCTTTTCTGGTTTTTCTGCTTCTCATCTCTCAGTTTCAGTGAAGCTTCCATCCTGCCACCAGTTATCTTACTAAAACAGACATTTAATAAAGGGTTCCAATTTATAAATCTTTTGGGTTCCCATTGCCTATAGGCTAAAATCTCAACTCATTAGCATAAGAGAAGCCTTTCTTTGAAGATTTGATCTCTACCAGTCTACTTCATAACTACTTACTCACCAATCCAACCAACACACCAAATACAGATCCTACAAAATGTCTTGGTATCCTCCAAAAAATCATGCTATTTTATATCTTTAGGCATTTGCACATTTCTTTATATATTATATGTATATATGTTGTTAATGTGGTGTTGTATAAATGTTTCATTTGTATGTTGATCATACTAGGTAGTGAGCTCTTCTGGGACAGAAGCCACAACTTACTCTTCGTGTTTCTAAAAGCCAATATGTTGTCTAAGCATCAGCTTATGAAACCAGACTTCTTTTTAAGTTGACATTATCATTAATTACCTTTTTTAAGGACAGTTATTCAACTATCTAAAAAATATAGCTAATTCTGTTAACCAGTTCAGTCCAATTTTCTCAGTCCTTGTCCACAGTTACATTGTGAAATCCTCAAGGATCTCTGACCTTCCTCTTCCAATGTTTCCCTTAATTTCTCTTGAAAATTAGCAGGCTATTTCAGTGAGGAAAAAATAATCCCAATGGGACAATTTTTAAAAATATTTGTATGTATAGTATTCTGAGTGTCAACTAGATGTGCTTATCACCTGTACCAGAACTTCATGAAACATTCTTTGTCAGTTACTTTTCATCAGAGTTGGGAGCTTTTCCTACATTATCTTGACATTATACCATCTTCAGGGTGCCTGGATGGCTCAGTCGGTTAAGCATCTGCCTTCGGCTCAGGTCATGATCCCAGGGTGCTGGGATCGAGCCCCGCATCGGGCTCTCTGCTCCGCGGGAAGCCTGCTTCTCCCTCTCCCATTCCCCCTGCTTGTGTTCCTGCTCTCGCTGTCTCTCTCTCTGTCAAATAAATAAAATCCTTAAAAAAACAACCCCACAACATTATACCGTCTTCAATTCAGTTATAGTATTAGTTGGCATTTACCACAAGATACCATTGAAAATCCCTAAAGTTTAAGGTTCTATCTTTTATAAGTATGTGCTCCATCATATTTGCAAATTGTGAATTTAAATGTACTTAAATGAAGGGTTATCTGTAAAAGTTTCATTGCATAAAACTTCAGAATATGGAGTACCAACTTATATTAATAATTTTAAGTGTGTATAGATGTTACACTTAGTCCAATTAGGTATTTTTTATTAAGTGAAATACTTTATTTTTTCTTTTTTAAAGATTTTATTTATTTGAGAGTGAGCAACGAGCGGGGGGAGGGGCAGAGGGAGAGGGAAAAGCAGATGCCCTGATGAGCAGGGAGCCTTGCCTACAGGGTCAATCCCCAGATCCTGAGATCATGACCCGACCCTTAACTGACTGAGCCACCCAGGCACCTCATTAAGTGAAATAATTTAGAAAGCTTTTCATATACACAAAATCAAATGATTAATTAGCATATGGTTACTTACTTTTTGCAAAGGAGCTAAGATTTTTAGATTTTAGGAATTGTCAACCATACAGTCAGGGTCCTGGCAGAAAACAGAAACTGCTGATTTGATTATTTAATAAAAGGACTCTTTACAAAAGGTATAGACAAAGTTTAGGGGGCCCTAAGGGAAAATGCAGGGTCCTGGGGTCCTTGAGCTAAAGGAATAAGGAGAGGTAGTGCTACAGCTAGTGCTACTGGGAGGGGCTAATCGTATAGTGAGGGCGCCTGACTTGAGCATTGGCCTTCAGCCAGCCTGTTGTGATTCTGGAGGAGCCAGAGCTCACTCTTGGCCTGTACTTCTGATTTTCTGCCTAGTGCCGCCTTTTGGCTGACCGGAAGTTCGGAGCAAAGGAAACTTGTTGATATGGTCCGTGATAGTCATCTTCCCAAAGCACAGGGTGGGATAGGAAAGAGTGGAAAGTGGATCTGGAGGAGCAAACAGAAAGCGGCAGCTGTCAGCTGAAGTTAAAAAAAAAAAAGGGGTAAACACAAATATTAGTGATATTTTGTTTACTGTATCATTTTTCTATAATTTTGAATTTTTCCTTTCATTAAAAAATTTCATGATACAGGTCCTGGGAATGTACAAAAACCAAAAAATACATTGGTAATATTATGGAAAATTATTTATTTTGATTTATTTTGATTTTGATTTAAAAGATTTTTTTTATTAATGCTTGATATTTTTTCAAAGGCCAACAAAAAATGTGAAGAGGCACGCCAGGAAAAAGAAGCAATGGTAATGAAGTATGTAAGAGGTGAGAAGGAATCTTTAGATCTTCGAAAGGAAAAAGAGATCCTTGAAAGAAAACTCAGAGATGCGAATAAAGAATCTGAGAAAAACGCTAACAAAATTAAGCAGCTTTCTCAGGAGAAAGGACGGTTGCACCAGCTGTATGAGACAAAGGTATAACTTGTGGTGGTGTACTTTAGTTGAAATTTATTCTTTTTGCTTTTCCTTATCTAATCAAATACTGATAACTTAATGTGGTTAAAGTCACTATTTAATATAAAGTTGTTTTTGTTAGTTTACCTTCTAAGAACATGAATGCTTTAGTAACTTTAGTATCTCACTACCTGTTGGCAAAAAGTTTTTGCTGGGAAAAAAATGAGATATTGGCACATGTTTATTAAATAACTTTTTCTTGATAGATTTTTTTTAAAACCTTTTAATATCTGTATGTTGAAGAAATGAGTTCCTGCTCCAAAAGAACATTTTATTTTGGTAAAATACGTACATAGTAGGATCAAGATGTAAATAGTTTCTCAGCGAGAACTATGTAATTTGACTGGAATCTTATGTAACACTTGGTTATCATAGAATAGAATTTATATTTTTTTGTAGAAAAACATGTTCTTTTTAGATGCTGCCCAAAGAAATTTAATTACTGAGCTATTCAGAGTCCTTGCTGTTAACTAGCAGGCTCATGGCATGGTCTTATTTCTAGTCAGTTATCATTTCTTGATAATCAATGTTATTTTTTTTAATTAACTTTTAGTTCAGGAATGTTGTCATTGTTCTCAGGAATTCTGGAAAAAATTAATTTGTATTTCACCTTAATGCCAGCCAGTTGACAAGAATCATAAAGATGTACTTGCAACATATCCAGTTGTTTGAAATATGTTAATCATTTTATGTCTATTGACTGGATTTAGGATTTTGCTACTCTCTTACCATTTGAACTTTGAATTAGGTTTATGTAGGTCATAATATGCTAACCTCTGAAATATAGTGTTATTAAATTGATTATTTTGAGGAGGTATAAAAGATACACAAATAATTGGTTGATTGTTTAAATGAAAAAATATGACCTAGTGATATTGTTTTAGGAAAGTGAAACTACTAGACTCACCAGAGAAATTGACAAATTAAAGGAAGATATCAACTCTCATGTCATTAAAGTAAAATGGGCACAAAACAAATTAAAAGCAGAAATGGATTCACACAAGGTAAGTACTGTAATGCAATGGAAAAATTATTAGAATCAGTTTTAAGAGCAAATGCAGGGGCACTTGGGTGGCTCAGTCAGTTAAGTGACTGACTCTTGGTTTCAGTTCAGGTCATGATCCTCAGGGTCATGAGGTAGAGCCCCACGTCAGGCTCTGTGCTTAGCACGAAGTCCGCTTGGGACTCTCTCTCCCTCTCCCTCTGCCCCATCCCCCTGCGTGTGTGCATGTGTGTGCATACTCACGCTGTCTCTAAAATAAATCTTAAAAAAAAAAAAAAATGCAATAAAGGTAATGAGGCATAAAGCTTAATTCAGTGATTTCTGTGGGATAGGTTGAGCCTGAATATTTGGTGATTGTGAAAAGATAGTTCCTTGTGTGATTTACATATTAAATTAGAATGTTAAATTTTATAAATTGTAAAAAATATTAAATTTTATCATTCATTGTTTACAACTCCAAAATTGACTTTGTTCTTCAAGCATTTCTTGGTATCTATATATTACACGTTATGTCAGAAATTTGGGGGAAAGAGGGGTAGTACGCAAATTTAGAGAGCCAGGGAAAGTGTCACTGAGAGATGACAGATGGATAAAGACCTGAAAGGAGGGCAGAGTACCACAGAAGAGAAAGATTTGGAGATCTGCAGTGTGTTCCCTTCAGTTCTTCATTTAGCTCTCTACTTACTGATCAGTATATGTGTATGAGCAAGTTAGAGGTGGAGAAAGAACTATCAGAAAGGAGTAGGGACAACAGTTCCTAGGGCTCACAGAGGGCTAGTAGGACCTGTTCATGTTTCCCCCAGCCAAGAGAAAGCCCTCTTAACATAATAGGGCATCCGGTGGCCTTCAGAAGGGTGTTGCTTCAGCAGTGAGGACTAATTAGCCTGAGACTACAGTCTGTTATGGACCCATCTTACAAAGCTTTGAAAGAAAGCCTCAAATCAAATTGTTTCAAATACATCAAATACATCATTCAAATAATGATGTCCCAGAAGAAAGCCCAAAATATTCAAGTGAGTTAAATCTCCAGGATCTAAGAACATAACATTCACAATGTCTGGTATCCAATAAAAAATTACCAGACATGCAAAGAAGCAGGAAAATATAGCCTATAATGAGAAGAAAAGAGAAATCAATTGATAGAAACAAAGGCAGAAATGACATAGATGAAAGAAGTAGGTAAGGATGTTAAAACAGCTATTATAAAATATATTCCATGTATTCAAGAAGATAGATTAAAAGTGTGAATACATTAAGGAAAAACATAAAAGATTGTAAAAAGGCCGAATTGATATAATGTCTGAGATGAAAAATACATTGGATAGAATTAACAGAAGATTAGATGCTACAGAAGACAAGATCAGTGAACTTGAAAAACATGAAACTTTAAAAACATACATGGAAACATAGCATAGAAAACTATACTAGTGATTCCTAGATTTATAACTTATATACAGAATTCCGTATTCTTATATTTAGGTGGCTACTTGACATCTGATGTCTTGGGTGACTCACAGGCATCTTCAACTGAGCATGTCTGAAACGGAGTGGATAATGTGCCTGCCCTCCATTGCTCCCCCATCTCAAGAAATGGCAATTCATCCTTATCCTTGAGTTCTCAGTCACCATATCCAGTCCCTTAGCAAATATTCTTGCTCACTTCTTTCAGGTCTTTACCCATCTGTCACCTCTCAGTGACACTTTACCTAGCTCTCTAAATTTGCGTACCTCCCCTCAAACCCCCTTGTGCCCTTACTTTATTTTTACTTCTTAGCACTTACCATTATCTAATATAACATATTTTTACTTAGTATTTTATGTATTACCTGTGATCACTAGAATACCAGCTTTATGAGAGTAGAGATTTTTATCAGTCTTCTTACAGTAATATTTCCTCGAAGCTCAGAAGAATGCCTTATATGGCAGGTGCTCACTAAATAAATGAAATGTAGGCCCTTTACCAAAATTTTTCTTTTATTTGGTTATTTATTTAATAATTAGCATTATAGGAATCTCTCAGTTGCTATTTTTTGAGTGAAGTGAGTACCTACTGTGCACCAAGGTTTTTCAGTTATTGATGATAAGACATGGGAAAAAAAAACCATACAGGATTTGGGGTACCTGGGTGGCTCAGTCAGTTAAGCAGCTGCCTTCAGCTCAGGTCATGATCTCAGGGTCCTGGGATCGAGTCCCACATCGGGCTCCCTGCTCGGCAGGGATCTGCTTCTCACTTTCCCTCTTCTCTTCCCCCTGCTCCTTTGAGCTCACTTGCTCACTATTTGAGCTCAAATAAATCAAATCTTTTTTTTTTTTTTTAAAGATTTTATTTATTTATTTTGACAGAGAGAGACAGCGAGAGAGGGAACACAAGCCAGGGGAGTGGAAGAGGGAGAAGCAGGCTTCCCGCAGAGCAGGGAGCCTGATGTGGGGCTCGATCCCAGGACCTGGGGATCAGCTTAACGACTGAGCCACCCAGACGCCCTCAATTAAATCAAATCTTAAAAAAAAAACAAAAAAACAAATCAAATTCTTATTAAAAGACCAGCAACTGGAAGCTAAGTAGTTAGTTGTGTGATAGATTTATCCAAAAACGACATAAAAGAAGTAGTGTGTGAAGATAGATGCAATTTAGTTGGTTCAAAAGAGGAAGAGAAACATTCCAAGTGGGGGAAGAGCAAGAGAAAAGGAAAAACGGGAGATGAGTATTTGATGTTTAGGAAGACCAGCCTCCCTAGAGTAAAGGCTTATTTAGTGATTCCTTCATAGATTCAGCAAATATTACATGAACAATTAATATGTGGCAAGTACTAAGCTAGGTGTTGTCCAGAAGCTGTGTCCTCAGTGGAGGAAACACGTAATCTACAGAACAGGGTATCAGTTCTAATCCAGGAATGCCCTGGACTCTGTCTATGGGAAGGCAGATAACAGCTTCTACCCTTTTCTGAAGGGCAGCTACTAGGAGGTGATACCTAAACCCTGATTTCAAATCCACAATAGCTCAGGCCATGGGACTGGATGGGTGATCTGAAGAACTGTGGAAAAAGAGCTGCAGAGCAGGGCTTTATCTGGAAAATTGCCACAGGAAGCAGAAAGCCAGTTGAGACAGAAAAGACAACAATGGAAAGGGAAAAATAGTAGTATGTTGTAATAGAAACAGGGGAAGGATATCCAGGGAATCAGGAGTGGTCAGAACTGGAGCAGGTAAGTCAAGAATAGAAAATGAGAGAAAGTAATTGAATTTGATGAGAGAGTAGTCCCTACAAACCTTCAGAATTGCTCTTTTAGGAGAGTGGTTAGGAACAGAAACCAAACTGTAGCACGGACCTGTAAGACAGTTTTGAATAGATACCGTGGCCGTAAAGCAAAGAATGGTCTTTTATGTGTGTGCAGAGAGCTGTTTAACACTTTGTTCCTCTTGTCTTACCCGGTTAGTAATTACTTTGAGTGATTTACTGAAAACTATCAAATTTAACTTTATTTAATGGCTATCAGTTAACTGCACAGTCCACTTTGGTTTTTTGTCAGAAGCATAAAGTGTTATTTCTAGAATAGTATCTAACCCCTCAGTGGCAGTGCCAGGACTACTCTGGTTATTGTCCTTACCATTCATCACATTACTGGGCCCAACCTTGTCACTGTTTGTGAAGGACAAACTGTTTTCCTTCTCCAGTGTAGGGAAGAACCCATTTCTCCCTACTGTGTGTTTCTTCCTTTTGAGTCTTGTTTACTTTTACACTGAACACTTCACCTCTGACACTTTGGTCACCAGTTGTATGGAGGTTTTCCCCCACTACAAGTAATTCTCTGTGATACACCTAGGTGTCGCTACAGTTTCACTTGACTCTGACACATCCACCTGGAGATAGCAATGGATCCCACAGATTAAGGGCTCAGTCATACAAGAAGGCCCCCCAGCCCCTCACCACGCACATACTTCAGATGCCAGCCACAAGCCCAGGTGCCCTTGTGACCAGCCAGCTATAGATCAGAAGTTCCAGCGACCCCCTCCTTGGGTTTGAAAATTTGCTTAAAGAACTCAGGGAAGGACTTATGTTTATCATGTTATTAAAGGGTATGATAGAGGATACAGATGAACAGCCAAATGAGCTATATAGGGCGAGGTCTGGGAGGGTCCCAAACATAGGCGCTTCTGTCCCCGTGGACTTGCGGACCCTCTTGGTGTGGTTGTATCTGACAGTCTGGAAGCTCTCCAAACCCCATATTTTGGGATTTTATGGAGGGTTCATTATGAAGGAATGATCCATCATCAGCTCCATCTTCAGGCCTTCTTTGGGGGCTGGATTCCAGACTGCTAATCATGACTTGGTCTTTCTGGTGACCAGCCTGGATCCAGGAGCCACCCAGACGTGCCTCATTAGAACAAAAGACACTCCTGTCACCCAGGAAATTACAAGAGTTTCAAGAACTCTGTGTCAGGAACAGAGGTCAAAATCAGTACTGCAGCAAGAGATGCTCCTAGTGTTCTTATGACTTAGGAAATTACAAGGGTTTTAGGAGCTTTGTGTCAGGGACGGGGGCAGAGACCAATATATATCTTTTCTTTATCTCACACTATCTTTTTGTCAATGCAGGAAACCAAAGATAAACTCAAAGAAACAACAACAAAGTTAACTCAAGCAAAGGAAGAAGCTGATCAGATACGGAAAAATTGTCAGGATATGATAAAAACATATCAGGTATGCTTAACTTTTCAAATAGATTAGTAATAAAATTGCACCAAATATCAGTACTCTTGCTTCATTAATGTTTTGTATCTGTAATATTTGAAGTGTGGAGTGGATTTGGTAGGACAGTTAAATAAATGACAGGTTATTTCCTGTGTTAAAGTACTTGTAGCTTAACTAGAGATCTTATTGGAGATGTTTTTAACCAAATAACACTAAAAAATATCAGAAGAACGAAGAATACAAGGAAATGTATAACTTAAAACCCACTGTGTATTATGTTACATATCTTAAGGGCTATTCTTGTTCGTACAGAATTGACATATTTAAAATCTTGCAGTGCAGTCATTTTTAGATACCTAAGGTATGCATTTCACAATTTGTAAACCTAGCTGCCAAAGCCTTCACTTTCCAAAGTATAAAACTTTAAAAATTCAGTCATACTTTTTTCATTTCCTTCCCATTAGGAGTCAGAAGAAATTAAATCCAATGAGCTTGATGCCAAGCTTAGAGTCACAAAAGGAGAACTGGAAAAACAAATGCAAGAAAAATCTGACCAGCTAGAGGTGAGTGGCTTTGCTCTTTCCATACCCCGGATTGGGCAATAAATAACAGAGCGAGAGAAAGAATGAGTACTGTCACCCACTTTGAAGGCCTTTTCGAAGGAATAAGGCAATAAATTTTAGGTCTTGTTTAATACATAATGACTTGTGGTTTCTTTTAAACTTTATAAAAGATGCATCATGCCAAAATAAAAGAACTGGAAGAGCTGAAGAGGACATTTAAGGAGGGTATGGATGAACTACGAACACTGAGAACAAAGGTAAGGAAATCTCTAGTCATGATTTCGGAGGAAGGGTAAATAAATATCTTTAATTTTGGACTCCTAATTTTTTTAAGTGTTGGGGAAACACTTTCATTCCAAAGTGAAAGAACTCAGAGGAGTAGAATATTGATTTCCTAGCAATAAAATGGATTCTTTTGTTGAAATGATAATGTCTTCCACTTTGGTCCCTTTGAAGTATTTGCCAGACATTCCTATTTTACAGCACATTCCCTGTTTCTGTCACTTATCCCTGGGCCCCTAATGTAAGGCAGTGTTATCAGCAAATTAATTGGAAAGATAGTTGAACTTTAGAACTGTAAGTGACAGAAAATAGTAGACTTTATATTTCTCCTGGGTAGTCTTGTACAGTTTTAATTTCTAACAGTCTAGTATAGTCTTCATTGTAAAAATAGTATCCCTTTTAATATGAATGTGAAATATCATTGTATATCTAATTCATTTCTTTAGAAATAGGCTTTTAAGTAACCACCTTGAATTTGCCATCATTTAATAATTTCTAAAGTGTCCTTCATGTGCCTTTCCATTTGTTCTCTGTGCCAGTTCTTTGAGGTAGGTGGGGAAGGTTTATCTTGTTTTCAGGTGAGGAAATGGAGATTCAGCAAAAATAATGTGACATGCTAAAACTCCTGTGACTAAATCACGAGAAATCTGAGACTGAACCCCAACACTGTTAATGTCCCATTTTATTTTCTTCACATTAATCCTTATAACTTAGCTTAGATTTTTTTTTTTTTTTTTTTGAGCAAGAGAGAGAATGAGTGTGCGAGCGTGTGAGGGGTGGGGGAGGGGTGGGGGAGGGAAAGAGAATCTTAAGCAGGCTCCATGCGTAGTGCGGAGCCCAGTGTGGGGCTCGATCTCATAACCCTGACATCATGACCAGAGCCAAAATCAAGAGTCTTGATGCTTAACCAACTGAGCCCCTAGCTTGGATTATTAATATATAATCACTATATGAAGAAATTAAGGAATAAGAAAATATTGTTTATAGTCTAACTTGGTTATGAATTTTGATAGGTGAAATGTCTAGAAGATGAACGATTAAGAACAGAAGATGAGTTATCCAAATATAAAGAAATTATTAATCGCCAAAAAGCTGAAATTCAGAATTTATTGGACAAAGTGAAAATTGTGGATCAGATACAGGAGCAGCATCAAAGGTATAAACCAAGCAACTTCTGTTTATGCTAATCAATAGGCTTTTTAATTCTATCTCAAGATTCTGTTATTAAATGTAATTATTACATTAAGAATAATTTTATAATTTTACTAGCTAAAAAATTTAAAATTCCTGTTTTCATTTGAACTTTTTTGGATTATCTTTGAAGTTCCTATTATGGCTTCTAAAAATCAAAGTTTATATTCCCTAAATATTGGAAGTGGCAATTTATAAAACAGAGTGGATTTTAGTTTCTTACTCCATTCTTTAATGTTCAAATTATGCTACTTACAGTACTTACTTCTAAAAGGTAGATATATATGTACATCTCTATCTGTGTGTGTATTGTAGTGCAAGGTTAGGAGCTGACATTATTCCTTGACTTCTTGTAAAACCATTTAGCTAAACTCTACTCATGACGTCACCTGGCAGAGCCTAAATTCATCCTTAATCCAAATACCTTCTTTTTGATACTGACCCAGTGGCTGCTGCTCAGTCTTGCCAAAAATCCTCACCATCATCCAGGTTGGTGCTGCGACCTCGACTGGAAATGTTAGTGCCCTCTAATCCTGCCATATGTCCCGAGTTACAGCCTCTCCCCCACCTCAGAGCCTCTATTCCAGACGTTCCTTCTTTGTTCCCACTTCCAGTCTCCCTCTCCTCGCTATTTACTCTTGGCAGGTGATTACCTCTTATTTACTTCACAAGAGAAGTGGGAGCTGCAGGTAACTGTTCTCGCAACCTCTTTCTGTCTCTTCAGTGAACTTGCCTTCATCTGCAGCTATTCTTCTTTCTCTTCCTTCTGTTATTACAGAACACATGTTCCTGTTCCCCTCTGAACTGAATTGTTCTCTCTACTTCTGTGGATCCCATGCTCTTCTGCCTTCTCAGGATCTTTCTGGACTGTTTCTTCTTTATCCTTTATCTCTTACCTCTCTCTACTTTTTGTTTTTCTACATTTCAATATTAAAAACATCAAAACTACTATGATGTCCCCCCACCTTTTTCATGTCCTTCACAACCAAACATCCTTGTAGAATCATCGGTACTCTTCCTCCATGCCTCTGCCTTTCCTCCGCACTTCAGTCTAGCTTCTACCCCAACATCCCATCAAAAACTGCTAATGCCTCCTTAAATCTAGCAGACACTTCCCAGAGGAAGCCTTGCTTGAATTTTCAGTATTAAAACCATTAAGCCCATTATCTTTCTTTTTTTTTATTTTAAGATTTTATTTATTTATTTGACGGAGAGAGACACAGCGATAGAGGGAACACAAGCAGGGGGAGTGGGAGAGGGAGAAGCAGGCTTCCCGCCGAGCAGGGAGCCCGATGCGGGGCTCGATCCCAGGACCCTGGGATCATGACCTGAGCCGAAGGCAGACGCTTAACCGACTGAGCCACCCAGGTGTCCCAAGCCCATTATCTTTCTTGACGTGCTGTGTTCCTTTGGCTTCATATCATGCTTTCCTTGGTGTTCCTCCCCACTTTCTGGCTACTCCTTTTCTCAGTCTCCTTGGCAGCCTTCTCCTTGTCATAAAACTCTTTTGTTACTATCATACCCTGAGTGGCCCAGCTATTGCTGTAGTATGCTGTAGGACCTTCAGGTCATTATCTTCAGCCCTTTTGGCTCAGGCCCAGACATACAGGTATCAAAGGTACCTCAGACTTTTAGACTAAATGTCCCAAACTGATTCGTCCATCCCACCCATAAATATGTTCCTCTGATGTTCCTGAGATGAGTGATGAGTGGAGCATCCACATGATTTTCCAGCCCAGGAACCTGGGCATCCTTCTTGGTTTCCTTTCCTTCCCCTCATACATCTAACCAGTCACAGAGTATTATTGATGCTCATGCTTCAGTATCTTTCAAGTTCATTTATTTTTCACACCCCCACCACTGATGCCATTGTTCTTTTATCTGGAAAGCTGCCATAGCTTCTAAATGGGTTTTGTTGGTTTTTTTGTTTTATTTTTTGTGGGGTTGTTTTTTTTTTTTTTTTTGGTCTTCCCTTGCAGTCCATTTCTTACACTGTAGTTAGCATAGTCTTTTTAAAAGGGAAATCTTAAAACCTTTCAGTGATTTCCCATTGCCTCAAGGACTGCCCAGTAAGTTCAGATGCCACAGCATGGCTTGGAAGATCATTAGTGACCTGGCTTCTCCCTCTGTGCTTTCTCTTTTCGCACTCTTGGGTTTCAGCAATAGTTGTTTACAAATGTGGGTTGATTGTCTCCTATGTGCATGCGCTGTATTAAGGGCTGGGGATATAGTGCTGTCCTTATCCTCATCAGTGTTGAACATGTGTTTGTTAGTACCAACAAGAAAGTCATTCTCGTTCCCTTCCCAGATCTAGCACATCCTGTTTCTTCTACATATTTTGTTGGAACATATTTTGTTGTCTCACTCACTCCTACTTTTTCTTCTGATCAGGAAGTAGCAAACTGTGGTCCATGAGCCAAGTCCAGCCCACTGCCTTTTTTGGTAAATAATTTTTTCTTGGAACACAGCTACTCTCATTCCTTCATGAATTATCCGTGGCTGCTTTCACACTGCAGCGGCAGGGTTGAACACTTCCTGCAAAGACCATATGCCGTAGAAACTTAAATTGTTTAAGTTTGGGCCTTTTACAGGAGAAGTTTGCTAGCCCCTACTGTATTAGTTTAAACACCACTTATACTAGGTTAGGCAACCCACTCTGTGCTTTTCATCATCAAAAATATTTTATCACACATGTAATTTCCTTACTTAATGGAAATTTTTGAAAGCAGGGCCCATGTCAGTCTTTCTTATACTCATAGCTCTTAGTTCCTAGCGTATATTAGGTAGTCCTACAAATCCAAATAAATAATTTGGATGAATGAATAAAAGTACACTTATGAAGTATTTTATTTGATGAAAATCCCAAACCATTAATGTAATGTCTTTTAGTAGTTTTTTTTCTTAAGTATAAACTTTGTTTTTTAGAGGTAAACAAGAAATTGAAAATTTGAAGGAAGAAGTGGAAAGTCTTAATTCTTTGATTAATGACCTACAAAAAGACATCGAAGGCAGTAGGAAAAGAGAATCTGAGTTACTACTATTTACAGAAAAGCTCACTAGTAAGAATGCGCAACTCCAATCTGAATCCAATTCTTTGCAGTCACAATTTGATAAACTTTCCTGTAGTGAAAGTCAGTTACAAAGCCAATGTGAACAAATGAAACAGACAAATACTAATTTGGTAAGTATACATTTACATTTAACTTTTTTTTTTTTTTTAAGATTTTATTTATTTATTCATGAGAGAGAGAGAGGGAGGCAGAGGGAGAAGCAGGATCCCCTCTGAGCAGGGAGCCCGATGCGGGACCCAATCCCAGGACCCTGGGATCATGACCTGAGCTGAAGGCAGACGCTTAACCATCTGAGCCACCCAGGCGCCCTACATTTAACTTTTAAAGTGACATACAAGAAGCACAAGTTAAATTTTCCTGTTAGCATAAACCTACTGGTAGTTAAAGTTGAGCTCTTTTTTTTATTGGTCTGATTTTCTGGTAATTTCAAATGCTGTGAGAAGTGTCAGTTTTTCCTTCTAAATTGTTTAAAGTGTCCTTTTTCCTTCCTATTTATATCATAATAAAATACCTTCCTAAAGTATTTATGAAAAAGTATTTCACTTTTGAAAATAAAACCATGGTTTTTGTCATTAGTAACTGGAATTACCACGTATGTGTGTGTGTGTATATATATATTTTTTTAAGATTTTATTTTGGGGGGAGGGGCAGATAGAGAGGGAGAGAGAGAATCTCAAGCAGACTTCCTGCTGAGTACGGAGCCTGACACGGGGCTCGTTCTCATGACCCCAAAATCATGACCTGAGCTGAAATCAAGAGTTGGACATTCAACTGACTGAGCCACCTAGGCACCCCTGGAATTACTATATATTTTTTAAAGTATTTCAAATCTCTAGATTTTTATAGTTTAAAAATGGTTTAATATTTCTAAGTGATCAGAGTGTCTTCAAGTTACTCAAAAATAATTTGAGATGTTAGTCCAAAATAACCAGAGACCTCTGACATAGACTGTTTTGCATGTATAAAATGGCAAATACGTTAATATGCCCCTGCATTCCCACACAAGGAATTTGAGGAGTGCAGGAAACAAAACCTGGTAATGAGCAATTCTGGAAGAATCTACCATCAAGGACCTTGAATTTTCAGGTTTTAAACTGTGAGCAGTAATGGAAACAAACAGGTGTTAAAATTGGTGTTTTTTGTTTGATCTCATTTAATATTTAGGAAAGTAGATTGTCAAAAGAGGAAGAACTGCGAAAAGAGGAGGTCCAGACTCTGCAAGCGGAACTCACCTGTAGACAAACAGAAGTTAAAGCATTGAGTACCCAGGTCGAAGAACTAAAAGATGAATTAGTAACCCAAAGACGTAAACATGCCTTCAGTGTCAAAGATCTTACCAAACAACTCCAGCAAGGTATAAAATTCTTTTACACTTAGACCTTAATGTTGCATCTTTTAGTCATTAAGGATTTATAGAAAAAAAATACTTTACATCAGGTTCTACCACACTGATTAGTGCTATATGTTCTCTTTAATGTATTAATGTTTATAAACCAAATCGCTAAACCTCTTGGAGTTCCATGAATAGTCTATAACGTCTTCTATGTTAAAGGACATTTATTCACAGAACCCCAAAATGTGAGAGTTGGGAATATACTTGAGGGCAGTAGTGTCTAAACTTTTTTGATCACATACTCCAATCAGTAAAAAGTATTTAAGCATTTGTTCTCAGATTTATATATATTTATAAATTTAAAACATGTATCACTCTACATTAAAAAACATGAAAAATAGAATCTGATTAAAATAAATATAATAAAAATAAAAATTAAAAACAATCTTTTCAAAGATCAGATGAAATGTAAGTATAAATGGAAATTCTAATACTTTCTCCCTACATGTGCTATGAGTTGTTTTGTGCAGCATCTAGGGTACCTGCACCCCACCTTGTAGACCTCTCTACCTTAGAGATCATTGAGCCCTAACCCTTCATCTTAGAAGAAACTGAGACCCAGACAGGTTATGAACGACCTGAACACAATGATTAACAGCTGGGACTGGAACCCAGATTTCTTTCATTTAAAAATTTAAACAATTTAAACTGTGCTATGTGCTTGGATACAAAGATGAATAAGATATGTGTTCCGACTTCCTAATCGCTACTATTCTCACTACTTATTGGGTGAAATACAGTATTAAGATAAAAGAGATTTAGCATTTACTTAATGTATTCAGATATTTGCTATAAGAATTCAGTTTGTTTTTAAAGCTATAATTGAAGGGAAATTTCTGGTATTCTAGAGGTCATCTAAAGCCATCAGGACTCTGAATGTTAAGTCACTGTGCCTAAGTGATGTCATCATAGTGTTGTTTCTCTGTATTTTGTATTTGACCTGTACATTTCTAGATATCATTTTATATGAATGACAACTATAGCCCTCCTGTCTAAAGTATGTATTCCACAAATTTCTCTTGTGTTTGTCATTTTTGCCTGAGCGATTTTAGCAATTAAAATCAGAAATAGTGGGGCAAATGGTCATGATAATTGTCACAAGTAATTTCTTTTCCCTACTGTAGCACGAAGAAAATTAGATCAGGTGGAGAATGGAAGCTATGATAAAGAAGTCAGCAGCATGGGGAGTCGTTCTAGTTCATCAGGTAAAAAAATTTCTGGTTTCAGTTGTTATCTAGTGACTGATTGTAAAAAGAACTAACATTTTTTTGTGTTAAAAAGTGTTGATATTTTTTTTTTCCCATTTTGAGTTACTAAAAGTGGTATTATTTCCAATTAAATAAGTTCTCATCATTTCCCACGGTTTCATGTTTGTCATAGGGTTCTAGGTGATCTGTCTCCCTACCTCCTATTATCTTACCTGCATCTTCTTTATTCCTTGTGACAATTTCCTCTTCCATTTTTAAATTTAGATTTATATTCATCCATATATAGAGAGATTTGTTATATGGTCTCTCTTTGGGCACCTAGGTGGCTCAGTCGTTAAGCGTCTGCCTTTGGCTCAGGTCATGATCCCGGGGTCCTGGGATCGAGCCCCGCATCGGGCTCCCTGCTCGGTGGGAAGCCTGCTTCTCCCTCTCCCACTCCGCCTGCTTGTGTTTCCTCTCTCGCTGTGTGTCTCTCTGTCAAATAAATAAATAAAATCTTTAAAAAAAAAGTCTCTTTTTTTACTTTTACGTTACTTTTAACACCTGAAAACTAATGAAATGATCATTATATTTTAAGATTTTTTATATATACACATATGTTTAAATCTTTTAGCTTTTCCCATGAAGTATGCCTGTGGTCTAAAGAGAAAATGAATAGAGTCCATAAAATTATGATTGATATCGTGGAAATGGTAATTAGCAAAATATCAGTGTATTTGTCATTTTAAAGTGCCAGGAATCATGCCAGGCACTTTAAGCTTATTATTTACTCTGCAGAATAGTTGTGTGAGGTGTTACAATTCGCATTTTAGTGATGAGGAAATGAAGGTTCAGAGTGGTTCCATGACTTGCCCCAAATCCACAGTGACAGAACTCTCAGACTCTAGGATGAGTGCATGCCATGACACTACACTCCCTCCCAGGAGTTGCACATCAACTATTACAGTAGTGGGAAGATCACATAGTAGGAAGAACATGGGTTGAAACTACACATAGGTATTTATTTTTTAAAAAGATTTTATTTATTTATTTGACCGAGAGAGACATAGCGAGAGAAGGAACACAAGCAGGGTGGGTGGGAGAGGGAGAAGCAGGCTCCTTGCTAAGCAAGGAGCCTGATGTAGGGCTTGATCCCAGGACCCTGGGATCACGACCTGAGCCGAAGGCAGACGCTTAACAACTGAGCCACCCAGGCGCCCCTACACATAGGTATTTAGAACCCAGGTCTGTCATTTATTAGTGCGTGACCTTGGATAGGGTATATTACTGTCTTAAATCTACAAAATGGAGTTGAAAAAAGACTTATGTTTGTAGGGTAGAGAGGATCAGAAATTTTTCTCAACTGATGTTAATAAAAGTGATAGCTAACAGTTACTGAGTGCTTACTTATATATGCACTGTTCCAAGCACTTCACATATATTAACTCATTTAAATGAGGATAACAATCCTATGAGGTGAATAATAATATGCCCATTTTAAGATGAGGTGACCAAGGCACAGAGAATTAAATAAGTTGTCCAACATCACGCAGCTAGAAAGTCGAGGAGTAGGATTTGAGCCTCGGGAGACTGGCTTCAGAGCTGAACCCACTCTGTGTTCTGTCTTCTCTGTCTCTGTCTTTGGCTCTCAGTTTCATTTCAGACTTGTTATTCTGACTTTTCCTTGAGTTTCTTGTTTCTCTATTGCTGCTTCCTCATCCGGTTCCTGAGAGACATAATAGGCCCTTTTGGTACTTGTGTCATTCATGTATTCAGAAATAAGCACTCAGGCCAGGTATGACTTGTATTCTGTGCCCGACTCTGTTAGATCGAATATTTGCAAGTTATACTAGAAGAAATAATATGTGACATTAGCAGATGACTCTAGACTGAATACAGTACCTAAACTGATTTTTTTTTTTTTTTTTTTTTTTGGGTCTTCAGGGTCCCTCAATGCTCGAAGCAGTGCAGAAGATCGATCTCCAGAAAATACCGGGTCGTCAGTAGCTGTGGATAACTTTCCAGAAGTAGACAAGGCCATGTTGATTGAGAGGATTGTAAGGCTGCAAAAAGCACATGCCCGGAAAAATGAAAAGATAGAATTTATGGAAGATCATATCAAACAGTTAGTGGAAGAAATTAGGAAAAAAACAAAGTATGTATTATATAACACAATCTGTGTTTGAAATATCATTACTTATATGGTAAAGTTACTGTTTTCAAAATCATATCAAGAGCCAATCTTTCAAAAAATAATTTTTTTTTTTTAAAGATTTTATTTATTTGACAGAGAGGAACACAAACAGGGGGAGTGGGAGAGGGAGAAGCAGGCTTCCCACAGGGCTCGATCCCAGGACCCTGGGATCATGACCTGAGCCGAAGGCAGACGCTTAATGACTGAGCCACCCAGGCACCCCTCAAAAAATAATTCTTAATTGTAGTCATTCAGTTCCCAGTCTTTTATTGATCACTTACTATGTTCTAGGTTTTGGGAATACAGAGATGAAAGAAAACAGGTCTTTAAGGTGATCTAGAATTCAATAGATCTTAATTTTTTTAGGATACTAAAATAACGTTGGGTTTAATAAAAGCACTCTGTTAGCTTTTGATTTTCATGACTGTGGCTCTAAGAGAGATATGGGGTTGTGGATTATCTTTCGTGTTGGGTAGGACGTAGTGGGTAATTTATTGGGCACCTGCCAAGTACAAGATTCTGTGCCTATGACTTTAAACTTTCATTGAGTTCTTAAAACGGACAAATAAATTAACTGGTGGTGTTCAGGTCAAATCACTAAATGTTCCAGAGTCACCACTAATCCAGTAAGTGACAGACCAAGAGCTGGGGATCTGGGCCCAGCTGGGACTAGGTCAGTGTGACCTAAAGTCAAAAACTGGCTTCTCAAACTCCCAGTAGCTGGGCACCAGGGGCCTTGAGCTAAGAACCGGCCTTTTGAATGGTGACCTTGGGGGCCTCAGGGCGTCCTGGCCCCTGAGCAGGGGGTACTGGCTTTCCTTGAGGTGGGCGGGATGCCTGGTCAGCACAGCCTGGAATCTCCTGTGCAGTGTGTTCCATACACGTTTAATTTGCACTAATATTCTTTGGTACTCTGAAACCTTACTTTTCCTCAGTCACGTTTATGAGACGTATTTTCATGCACTTTTGTTTTCTATTTCATCCCCCTGCTAACTGGCCTCTGGCATGGTGTTTTTTTTTTTTTTTTTTCCATCTCACCTGCGGGTTCTTCATCCTGACCCTGAAGCCTGTGATCTTTCCTCTTCGTCCCTCCAGTGGCTTGTTCTCCCCTCCCGGGAGCTGGGCTCTCTGGGGCTTGGGCCTTCCTTCCTCACCTGGTAAAAAGGAAAAAAAATTGCTGTGCAAAATTCCTCTTACAAATACCATATTCTTTTAAGATGTATTTTTTATATATTGCAACTTTTTACCCATGACTTTTTAATTTTTATTTTGAAATAATTTTAGACTTAGAGAAAAGTTGGCCCATGACTTTTAAAAGAAAAAGAAGGGGTGCCTGGGTGGCTCAGTTGGTTAAGTCTGACTCTTGATTTCAGCTCAGGTCGTAATCTCAGTGTCTCGAGATTGAGCCCTGTGCCGCCACCTCCCCCCACCCCCAGTCTCCTGCTCGCACATACATTCGCGTGCACGTGCTCTGTCTCTAAAATCTTTTTTTTTTTAAGATTTTATTTATTTATTTGACAGAGACACAGAGAGGGAACACAAGCAGGGGGAGTGGGAGAGAGAGAAGCAGGCTTCCCGCAGAGCAGGGAGCCCGATGCGGGGCCTGATCCCAGAACTTCGGGATCATGACCCCAACCAAAGGCAGACGCTTAATGACCAAGCCACCCAGGCGCCCCTAAATAAATAAATCTTTTTAAAAAAATGAATAAAGTTCTAGGTTTAATAACAAGAAAATAGAAAATATTAACTGAAATGGCGTAATAAATTGCTCAAAAATATTTTGATTAGGGGCACCTGGGTGGCTCAGTAGGTTGGGTGTCTGCCTTCAGGTAGGGTCGTGTTCCTGGGGCTCTGAGATCGAGCCCCACATCAGGCTTTCTGCTCAGCGGGGAGCCTGCTTCTCCCTCTCCCTCTGCCTGCAGCTCCCTCTGCTTGTGCTCTGTCTCTGTCAAATAAATAAATAAACTCTTTTAAAAAATTTAAAATATTTTGATTAAAGTAATAAGGAAAGAAATAGAAAAACAATGTTTATACATCTTTAATGTAAATACCATGTTAAACAAAAATGGGATTAAGACATCATCTGGGGGCACCTAGGTGGCTCAGTCAGGTAAGCATCTGCCTTTCAACTCAGTCATGATCCCAGAGTTCTGGGATTGAGCCCCAAGTCCAGCTCCCTGCACACTGGGGAGTCTGTGCTGCTTCCTCTCCCTCTGCCCCTCCCCCCTGCTTGTGGGTACACACGCTCTCTCAAATAAAATCTTTAAAAAAAAAGATACCATGTGAATAAGAAAATTTATTTTCTAACATATTACTGTTATTAACCTAATAGGTACTTGTTTTATGCTAATCATCTTCATGCTTATGATTAGTTGACTCTTGTAAATTTTAATGTTTTTAATTCTGCAAGTATATAACTGACTGTCACTTTATTTTGCAGAATAATTCAGAGTTACATTTTACGGGAAGAATCAGGCACACTTTCTTCAGAGGCATCTGATTTTAACAAAGTCCATTTAAGTAGACGGGGCGGCATTATGGCATCTTTATATACATCCCATCCAGCTGATAGTGGATTAACATTGGACCTCTCTTTGGAGATCAACAGAAAATTACAGGCTGTTTTGGAGGATACATTACTAAAAAATATTACTTTGAAGGTATCTGTGTTTCTCATTTACTTACAGCCAGTAAGTAAGCATGGCATAATGGTGCCTCTTTCATAGTGTGAGCTAGCCTGTAAATGGACTAGTTCTGTAATGCAAGGTAGCCATTTTACCTGGAAATAAAATTTTTTGTTTTTCTTGAAAAATACAATTTTTTAAGCTAGGAAGGAAAGGAAGAAAGAGCAAAAAATCAGCTTAGCTATTGTACAGTTTATTTTGCAGTGGGTGGCCTTTGACCTGTATAATTAGTTATAATCAATCGCTGAGACTCTATTTTAAGTTTAAGGCATTCATTTTCTAATGTATTTTCCAGCTTTACTTTTGCAGCTTTTACCCGACCCAGCTATTCTATTTGTGCTATGTTTGGGCCTTGAGAGTTAGTAAATAAAGTTGTAAATCTAGTAATAAATCTATGCACTAAAATTTGCTGTAGCTTCAGTAAAGATTCTGAAATGTACAGGACTTACTTACTGAAAACTGCTGTGCACCTGGTTTATGCCACAGAGCACTGAAGACTAATCCTCACCCTTTCAGTGTCAAAATTTAAGCAAAAACAGTTCAAACTGAATCTATGTACTTATGATACTTAATGGTTCTGTTTTCTTTCCCCCTTTTTCTTATTGGTAAAGGAAAATCTACAAACACTTGGAACAGAAATAGAACGTCTTATTAAACACCAGCATGAGCTAGAACAGAGGACGAAGAAAACCTAACACGTAGCTCTTGGTCACTAAACACAAAAGCCACATAAGGAGCAGGTGCCACTGCCCAGTATTGTTGGAAAATTTTCCCTGCTTTGTGTGTCAGCCAGTAAAAAATTGTTTTGCTTCATCTGTATAAAAAAGTATCCTTTTATAATACGAATGCATTGCTGTGTATACTGTAAGAGAATGAGCTTTGATGAAATTTGTATAGTGACAGCCTGTCACTGAATCAGAACAACTGAAATTGCTAATAGTCTTATGAAGTGCTGAACATTTTTGCAAGGGCTTTTGAAAACCCCTTCTCCATATTTCTTCCTTTGAAACTATATTATGTCAAAAATGATTCAGCTTTTTAAAATTATGCATGAAAGGACACGTGTTAATCATTCAGTAATACGCTATTTCTCCAACATGAAGAAACTAAAGTGATCAAAATTTTGTTTGACATTCCAGTATAACATTTGACTGTATTTTAGGGATGCCAGTGAGTCCTTAAATCTTTTAATTTTAATGGAAGCTAATAAGAAAGCCAGTGCTTGGTAACTAGCAGTTATCAGACATTGCATGCCTCTGTCAGGTTTCCTTATCTGTGCTAGGTACGTTTTTTTCAGATTCAAATTGTTTGAGTTAAGGTTGAGTTTTTTTATTTTTCAGTTACACAAAATATGATTTTAAATAACATGCTCACTTAGATTTGTGGACTTCAGTTGTATTTTAAAATGTGAAATAGATTAGTCATTAGAGCAGAGAGATGAATAATGAATTCTTTGAAACTGGAATACTTTAGTTTTACTAACATTAAATGTAAAGATAAATGTTTAAGATATTTAGGAAGAACCATTTCCCAAGAGAATCCAGCATATGGCTCTGTTAACCATTTCATTTGGTACCATTCCTTACCATTATATAATTATATATTCCAGTGGAGTGATCTTATAGTCCCCAATGTGATGTGTTTCAATATATTTATTTAAAATACAAAATAATTACATCTCTGTAACCAAAGGAATTTTAGAGCCAAATTTGTGTATCCTAATGGATTTTTACAATATTTATTTAAGATGTGCACTTAAATGTTGCCAGTCATAGTATCAGTATTTCTACATCATTGAATTTTGTTCCTTCCTCTTGTAATTTGTAACTTATTATCATTTCTGAGTGTGGCTTTTCACATTTCATTATATTCAGATCATTTCTGTAATAGGATACCTTGGCTAATACGCAGATGTTGCCACAAGTGTCACTTTTGTTTTAGATTTTTGCATCCTTTTTCTCTCCTTAAGAGAAGTAAGCTTTGGGATGATGAATTAACCTTTAAGGAATTGTATGGCTCTAAAAGTTGGGCTCATGGTGGCAATGTCCCTTTAATGTGTTTTAACGTTTTTTTTAATCAACATTGTTTAAAAAGATCATTTACTAAATTTTTACTAAGGATTTAATGCAGCATCTTATTTTTTCTGTAAATCAAGTTATATCTTGCCATCCAAAAACAAAATCTTTTCAAAATGGAAATGTAAGTCCAAAAACACCTTTCTAAAATAGCTATAACAAGTGTTAGTCGTACCATAATGTGTCTTGTTCTTTTTACCAATAATAATTTATCAAAATAAAGTAAGAGGGGGTAAGTGCAAGTAAATCTGAATTATTTTCCCATTTTTCTAGACATACTATTGATATTCCTAAAGACTCCTTAGAGTAGCCAACATAACTAAATTTCATGACTTTTTCTGTAATGGAGATTCATACACTACAATATTTGTTTTTTTCTTCCAAGACACAAAATGTGTGAATGGAGACCAAGTAGTGATCAGATCTATAGTGTCTTATGTCTATACACTTTTTAAAAATATATACATTTTATTACATACAAAAGTGAAACATTCCAATATTAACATGTGTGCCATACCATTCATTTGGAGAACTCAAATGGTGACACTACTTTAGAGGAAGGCTGTTTATTATAAACAACATTCTGACTTTTATTTTTCAAGCTATGGAAAATTTTTGAAGAAAATGCTTTTATTTTCCTTTTGTTCTTCAGTTTCTACTGTATCTTTTTGTGTATGGATTAGACCTGAGCAAAGTAATGTACAAAGATGTGCATATGTCAGATCTTTATACCAATCACAAAAAGCTGCTAATGTAAGGATTTAGAGGGTCTTCTACTCTTAATATGTTGAATGTATGGAGAGAAGAATGGGTGTCTAGAAAAGGAAAATGGTCTGGATAAACCTGAGATCTGGGGCAAAATTTATATGTTCATTATTAGTTATACACATCAAAGGCTGTTTTGGCTACTTAGCACTGTTTTGGTTTCTTTGAGCAGGAAATTATTTTTTGTGTGTGTACATCTGCATATGCTTTTCTAGGTTTTAATTTTGAAGTGAATTCTTACTGTGACTCCCTTTTTTCCCATACCACTTCAAACTTTAGCCTGCTCAGTGTTAAGGGTTGAAAATAGTGGGTTTGAGCAAAGAAATGGGTTTGAACTTTGGTGTCGTGTGTGTTTTTTTTTTTTTTTAACTTTCTGTCTTCATCACCATTTAAAGTGATATATCTTGAATTAAATTTTATCAGGCTACCAGCATGTTAGTATTCACACATGTATTGAAAACCTGCTATTGCCAGGCAGCATCTGGGGTATTGTGGTTTTATTGGTGAACAAATCAGACAGGGCTCTTGCTGTCCTCATGGCACTGTGGTCTAGTTACAATGGTGGGAGGCAGTAGGAGCCACTCTTTGAGCCCTTGCCGCAGAAGGAAGAAGGTTAATCGACTTGTGCATATAGTGGCCCAGAAATCTCACTGTGGCATGAAGCTTTGGGAAATGAATCCTTGCTCTGGGGTATGCTGAGAGCAGATGGTCTCACGATGGTCTATGCATTCCCTAACTGTCACAGTTTGATGTTTAATTATTCTTGAAGAAAAAAAAAATCAAAGACCATAAAAAAATACTTGATTTTTGCTCTTTTAGTAAATTGTTAATGCCTACTTGATGCTCACAAAGAGGAATCTAATCATGTTTTCATGTATATTCCTAAACTTTGTTTTACCAGCATATTATTTTCTAAAGATTTTTTGCATATAAATTTAAACCAAGATTTACTGGTAGAAAGAAACCAAAACATTAAAAACCATTAATATTGTAAATGCTACTGTGGTGAAAATATTTTCATCAGTCATGTTGCTACTCAGTATGGTTAGTTTGCCTTATGAATGTTGACTCTAGTAGCCTGTTTTTCAGTATCCTTTTTTTAAAACAAAACAATCTTTTTTTGACACTAAGATTGTTAATTTTTAACACCAGTTGGTGGCACTAGAAACCTGAAATTTTTCAAGGCTCTGAACAAGAGAAAATAATTGAAAAAGTATCCAAACATGAAGAATTTTCCGGAGGATAAATGAAAAATATAATTGTATATTAAAGATGTATTTTCTGGGATGGATTCCTTTTTTAAAATGCATATGGCTGTCCATTTTGACTACAATGATGAAACTTGTTTATCTTCTAAAAGTTCATATATATATATGTGTGCATTGTACAGATAATCTTTGATTACACTGTTCATTTTGTAAATATGTTTCTGTATAAAATGAAGCTTTTCAAGAGAATTCTATGTATATATTGTACTTATTAAATAGGTAATGCCTGTTTACTAAGTTGTATTTTAGTAGCATCTCTGATTATTTATTTACATACACGACTTGCTAGACAGACTGATTCTCCAGACTGTTGGCAAGGCTGCTTCAGATTGCTTGAATTTTCTTTTTTAAATCACACTAGGGATTTTTGCTTTCCACAATTATCTTTATTATACCAATTATTAGAAGTCACTGAACAATAGTAAACATTAAATTGAATGCCAGGTTCTATTTCAAATTTGTGTTTTGGTAACAAAATTTGACCTTTTACAAAAGGCAGATTTTCACATGCCTGTTTTCACAGACATTTTCACATGCCTGTGTGAAAATTTCTCATTGAACTTGATAAGCCAGTAATATATTCATGTTTTCCACAAGTCTATGTACTCACTTGCCCAAATTACCTAGCCTTAATAATAAGGATCTAATATGTTCAATAAAAACCTATCGAAATGGCATTAATTTCATGAAGTTAACGTGTGTGGTAGATATTTCACATCATGCCGTGTTGTTTTCCATTTCTCTCAAGTTCTGGCACACTTAAATTATGCCACATACCTTCATGACTTCACCACTGGAAAGAATCCCCTAAAATCAGGATCCTTGGAATAAGAGTAGAATTAAAAGAATAGAGGAAGCTTATGTGACATCCTCAATAGTCTGCCTTCCGGTAGCCTATGGATTTGTCTGCAAGGAAAGGAATGTATGCAGGAAGAGAGTGGAGTGAGGGAAAGGGATACTGGCTGTGGTGGGTATTTTTTTTATTTTATTTTTTATTTTGGCTTGTAGTTCTTAACTGGTCAGTGGACCCTCAGGCATGAGATTGGAAAGACCATTCCGCTGAATTTATATCCATGTCTGTTTTGTTCTTAATAAATGCTCCAGTCAATGTAGAATGAGGACACACTTCATTAGGACTAGAAGCTTAAGAGGGTGCCTGTGTCTGACGAGGACCAATGAGGTTTTAATGATTGAGAACAATGTGACCAGACTTGGCGTTCCTGCCTCTGTAGAGATGCCCTGTTAATTCCTACATTATATGTAAGAGACTTGATTCTTGGTGGTGGTTTTTTTTTAAACATGCATTTAAGAAGTATGCTATTTCTGAGGAATTTTCAGCCTTGTTTTACTTTTTGATTGCCCGAAGGCCACGCTGTTTGCCAGATAGGCTATCTGCCCTCCTAACTGCACTCCCAAAAAAAGAGATAGGATGTTATATTCCAGAGAGGAATCTCTGCCATTAACACATTGCAGGAATAGTTCAATTGTCCATTTAGGATCCACTGAAATAAAAAACATGTTATTGACAGTCAACTGCTAGTTGCATTAACGTGGGGAATATATTAAATACACGAGTGGTTTTCTACACAATTTCACCATATAGTCTTTGTTTTTAATAAATAAAGGCCCAAGGGCAGTAAGTAGTGTGTTTGTGTGTATCTTCAGCACCCTCCCACGTTGCTGGTCCCAGGAAATATCAGTTAAACTTGCCACACTACCTGTCATTTCTTGGGTTCTTTTTATAAGCTCTGACTAGGTGAGACACCCGGAAATGCCCATCACCCTGGCTGCCCTTGCTGCAGGTTTGAGCTGTTTCTGCCCTCCCCATGGGGGAAACACTCTCAGTGTCTGTTCTTCCACCAGAGCCCCCTTAGATCCCATCTCCCCACAAACCAGGTCCCCAGGAGCCTGTGCCAATGGAGGGTGCTGTTGGATTTTGTGTATTGTTATTGTGTGAATTTAGGACAAGGTTGGAGGGAGACCCTGCTGAGACAAGCAGGCCAGAAAGACTCTGTTTCTGGCATCCTGATTGGAATTCAGAACTCACTTTGCCATAGAAATATTTTAGGGGTGCCTGGATGGCTCAGCTGGGAAAGCGCCTGCCTTGATTTTGGCTCAGATCATGATCTCAGGGTCGTGAAATCAAGCTCCATGTCAGGCTCTGCGCTGGGCATGGAGCCTGCTTGGGATTCTCTCTCGCGCTCTGTGCCTCCCTGCTCACACGTGCTCTCTCTCTCTCAAAAAAAAAAAAAAAAAAACTTAAATAATGAATACTTTATTCAAAACTTATGGATAAAAGGGGCTTTGAGTGCTTGCCTGAAATGTTTGTTACCTTCTTTCTCTACTTTTATGAGGTTCAGTGTCTTCTAAGCTCCAAGGCACCAACTTTCAAAAAAAGGTTGAAGCAGAAGCATGGAAGCCGGGCTCTGTGGTGGGATGATGTTCCCCATGCTCAAGCTGCCGGTGCCTCCTGAGAAACTGGATGATCCAATCTCACAAGTTGTTCTGACGTCATAGCAGCTACTGGTATCTCTCGTGTGCCCAAGCTGTCAAG